CACATAAACGAGTGCAAAATAACATTCCTTGTCATTTGATATAAATACATCTCTTCAATGAATACTGATAAAAATATTTTTGTTTACAACATAAATTAATAATGTGAAAATGTTTTGTAGTTAGATATATATATATATAAGTAAAAAATCATTGATAATATCAATGCACACGTACCGAAAAATTGTGTTAAAGCATGCGGAAGAATATCTCAAAGAACGTTTTGCGACAGGACCGGTAACTCTGTAATTGTTTTTGCGGGAAAATATGAATGCCTACTCGTATCCAATCTTAGAAAAATCGAATTTTTACAGAAAAGTGTCCACCATGCACTTGCATTGCACTATTATTAGAACAGTAGAATAGAATGATATACAAACGGATGCAAATCATATATATATGTAACTGTTATTTTAATATAATATATAACAACAAATCAGTGTATACTGATTTGTATCACTACAATATAATAGTTATTACGGTGAAGTTGAATTTCCTGTCATTTATTCATCATATTCGCACGCACTTGTCTAGAAAAAAATATATCTCTGTACATTAACCTCAGTTTCAGGTAAAGAGATATGTTGTTTTTTTTCTGAGACAAGTGCTTTTGACCATCCTCAAGAACTTGTGGTCATCCGATGTTCAGTACTTCAGTACTTTGATAATTTACTGATAACAAAATCAATATTTATACCAATAAAAACAATATTCAAAGATATAATTACAGTGTTGAATTGATAACCTTTTAGAATAAGTTTATTCAAAGGATTGATAAGTTTACACGGATCGTATATAAATTTCCGGGCTCGGTAAACAACATCACCGTAAAATTTAGGATGTGCTATTCCGTCTGAAATAAAAAAAATTTTACAGGTACAGCCAAACTTGCAAACCAAATCTTTGTGTCTATGGAAGAATTAGTAAAGGTTTAAAGTAATTTGTGGTAACGAAATCCCTGACCTGATAATTTACCAGTAATACATAGATTACGCTCATTGAAATCCAAAACGTCACTACAGACACGGGCATAACGAACGAGTTGGGATATATAAACACCGTAAGATGGTACCAGAGGAACATCACAGTCCAAAAAAGGAAAATTAACAACAGGGAAAGAAAAATCATCCCTTTTGTCGTAAACTTTTGTGTAGAGTTTCTGGTGTAAAACTGAAATATCTAAACTAGGAAAGGACACTTTCTGCTGTTTATATTTGATTTATTTTAACGAAAAATTAGTATACCGATTTGTTTTTCAAAAACTATAACGTGACGTTAAGGTAATTACATTTACTCTCAGAAAACCAATATATAGCACTAAAGGTGTTAAGGCCTTTTTATGCCAGATTTTACACTATATATATTTTGATATTAACATCCGTATAGGATGTGGATGAGGATAGAATAGAGAATGGACCCACAAACTAAAGAATACAGCAAAATGAAAAAAAAATGAAGGATAGAGAAAAATGGGTTGCTATAAAGTATAAAAATTACGTGATCAAAAAACAGAATCCAGTGTAAATTTCGAAAATATTTTGTTTCATTTTCCCGTTTTGATTTTTGGATTGGTCAGACGCTCGATGGCGAAAATTGGGTACCTTATTTATGTAATCCGCTCCTACAGTTTTTAACGGAGATCTTTGAAACTACACAGAAAGATTGCACACGTATATTGATGTTGTGCAGCTGCTAATATGAAATGCATTGATTTTTTTTCTCATTTTTACTTACTTTGGGACTAAGTGTCTTTCAGTGACCAAATTTTTAAAAGACGGTTTTAATTTTGTTTTTAATCCATATCTTTGAAACTTTACAGAGAGTTTCTAAACCAATTCAGGTTGTGCACCTTCCATCTTGGAGTTGTTTACAGATTTACAGAGAGTTTGTAAACCTATTTAGGTTGTGCGCCTTCCATCTTGGAGTTGTTTACAGATTGTTTTGTCATCATTTTACTTGTTGTATTTCCTTATCTTTAAATATTGAGTATATATCAAAGAAACAATCTGCGCAAACCAGCCATTTGGTTTATATTTCAGTTATAGATTGACTTTGCGGTTAAAATTTATACTGGGGTGAAAAAATAGACACCAATAACTGTGTTTAACCTTCATGGCATATTATTATTCATGAACAAGAGCTTCTTCATGATAAAAAATAGCATCTGAAGAATTTGTTTTCTTTCTTTTTTCCGTATGTTACTTATACAAGGACTTGTTTAGCAGTCAACATTACCAGAGGTGGATTTAGAGTGCCCCCGCTTATAGAGCAACATATATGGTTAATGCATATACTTTTACCAAGACCTACTCCTAACATTGCTTTTTGGGTGCCCCAGTTTTTAAATCCTGGATTCTAACTACGCTTTTATATTGAAAGCAGCAATCGCAGTCCAGACATAGGAATCCGAGGAACCCACTTTGAATTGCGGGTTCATGCACAAATTATAAGTCATCATTTTGATTAATTACTTTTTGTTCCGTCTTTAGATCTCGTTTACTTTGCTAGATCTAAATGGAAATGCAAATTTAACTCTTAACCAAAATACGTTATCAGTTACGTGAACGTTTTGACCTCAAGGTATCTTTCATTCTTTCTTATGAAATATTTTTAGGAAGATACTTTTATTATAAATTAGGACTTTTATTTGCTTCGGACATTTTTTTCTATAACTATAATGTCCAAATATATAATAGTTGCCTGCCTTAATATCTATACACTATAACTACTAATATTTAAACTAAGGAGGGGACTGTGATAACTTGTATATATCTTATTCTATTTGTTATAAGTTTATAGCAAATAAAATGTGTTTAAATGAAGCTAGTAGGAGTGTTGTTCTACTAAGTAATTTGTTGTTTTCTTGAGTGACAGTTTTACCAACAGGCGTGGCTAGCTTACTAGTTAGTATCCTGTAGTAAAAAACTACTTTCTGAATTATAAACCGTCTTTTATTTCCTTGTTCGAGTTATTGATCCTCCAAGGTTTTATATTGTGTTCCTCGGTGAAGCATGTTTTAACTTTTTGTTCATTATTGGCAAAATATGCTGTATGGTATCCCCAAAGCAATACATTTATATCGTATGCTACCATTTTTATATTGAAAAGCATTGTGGATTATTTTTTTTAGACGATTTTTCAATCTGCCATTGGGAATGGTGGTACAAAGGGTTGAAAAATCAAAGGTTTTGAAAGAATTAATTTCAGAGAAAGATCGAGATTTAAAATTATCCAAAAGTTCTTTTGAGTTTTTTAGAATCCAATATGGCTATTACCACTCGATACGAGAGTAAGCAGTTTCACAGTATTTCGGAAGACCTTCTTTCACTGCGGACAGAATTTTTGTCAGTCTAATAGATAATTCCTTTGTAGAACATGCAAATGAGCCGGCAATGTACCGTTGTTTGTACTTAGGTTTCCAATACAAACAAGGAAAGTCCTCAGATTTGCTGTTCAATGTAATGTTCATTGAAGCCATGAAGGACTTATGATTCGCCAAAATCTCATCCTTGTCAAATGAAATTTTTTTATATATGGGATTACCTGAGTGCTCATTTATTCCTAATTCTTTTACAAGACACTTGTAGTAGTACGATTTACATAGAAACACAATATTATTTGAAGCTTTGTCCGCAGGAACAACAAACTATTTACCGTAAAGAGATGATAGACATTTCATAGCTTCTTTGTCTCTGAATATGGACTTTGGTCGATCATTTACACAGTTTTTCAACTTTTGGATTCGACGTTTTATCAGAAACCTGATAGCTTTAACCCATTCCGACAAAGTGTCCAATTCAATCTTTTCTCGTTTAGCCCATGCTCTGGCGTAGTCCTCAATGGAATTCATAATTATTTTGAAGTTATGGTTCCAATCGATGTGTTAGGGTTCTCTGAACTTAGGACCATGAGATATCGCCTTTCGGAGATGTTCATGTTGAATAATGTTTAGATCCCCAGTAATGACATGACAAGAGGGGCTGTAAATATAAGAATAATATAGAATCATAGGGGTAACATGCACATTTTGTCTATTATCGAAAACCGCTATAGATAGAGAAAATCTGACTTGAACAAACATGTTAAGTAAGCTGAGATCTACCTTCTGACAAATTTACAGAAATTCTGTCAGACAACTTCTTATATGAGTTATTGCCCTTCAATGACGTTTTTCTCCGATATTTGGCGTTTTGTCTATTACCTCGAAAGCTATAATAGATAGATGCATCATAGAAACTATGAAAAGCAAAACAAGATCTACAAATAAGTCAACTTTGTCCAAATCGTCAAACAACTTCTTTTAGGAGTTATTTCCTTAAATGAAGCTTTTACCCGTTTTTTTCCGTTTTTGTCTATAATCTGAAAAAACTATAGGAATATAGATAGGTAGAAACTTTCAAAATTAAAATGACCAACAGGGCACGATCTACATGCAGTTATCGCAAATAGTTGAAATTATCAATAAATACTTATCATGTCGCCAATCGACTCCTAATAGGAGTTGTATTGTTTTTTGGGCAAAAATTATAGAAGATAGGGAGAAACATCTTCGCTAGCCAAGGGCTACGATCCAGTCCCCATATGGACCGTAACCGCCTTGGTGGTCTTGTCGTATCGTGTTCGCCTTGAATGCGGGAGGACGTCGGTTCGAACCCCGGCCGGGTCAAACCAGACTGTAAAATTTGTATTTGCTGCTTCTCCGCTAATCATGCGGAATTAGAATCGAGTTAAAAATTAAAAACTGGTCGAATCGGAGTCAAAATAATGTATCCGGTAGTTTGACATGTATTTCTACGGAGTGTTACCATGTGAACTAGCACGTTAATAATCCGATTTAGCATTTCGGTCTAGTACAAAGCAGGATTTGTATTTATATCGCGCTAACATGTTCTCGTCATGAATATGCATTTAATTTGTCACCAGACGTTAATCAGCCATCCATGCATCCATTCGATGGACCTCCCACTCAAAATCTTAACCTATATGCAATTTCAACTAACAGTTAAAATCATGGATTTTTTTTTATTATCAACAACTTACTTGGCGATAAAATAGAATAACCCATTAAATGTCTTCACAAAAAATATCACAGTTCACATAGCATGATGCATGATGTATTAGCAGGAATCACGTAAATTATGTAGACATAATTGTCAAAATGTGTATGATGAACTTTTTTTTTAGCTCAGTTTAATAATGCATGGACACTTTATACGGTAACTAATGGATAGATCTTGCACGTTTCCCGCTGTCGACTTCATTATCGCATTTCGTTAATGTTATGAACCAGGAAAACTTTATTAAAACTCCACCAACATGTTAATGTCTATTATTTTGGGTAATAATAATGTCATTTTCTCATAACATTAACTAATTTTCCGATCACTTCCTCCAATAAATATCTAATCAACGACCATGGATTGACGACTTCTGGCTAATTTGAAATACCAAGTGTACAAGGGAAATCCTTCAAACGTTTCGATGATGAGTTGATTTATTTTGTTGATTTGAAAGATTGTTTTCCTTGCCAGAACAACTTTGTAGACAGATGTCATTTCTGGTCCAATATTCATAGACCTCTCTTGGAACATTTGGATCTTGAGACAAACAGCATGTAACACAATTATGATCGCTCAGTCTTCTGTGTTTACCCTTTGAAGAAGAATTTTTAACTGTAAGAAAAGAAGACAAAAATAATTAATGTAAATGTTTGACTGTTTGACGATTGATTAACGTCACATCAGCACAAAAGTGTATACCGCGACGAGAGTCATCTAACATATATATATATCAAAGTAAATGAAAATGTTGTAATATATAGCAAAAGTAATTTATAAGATTTGTTTTTGTGTTGTTGTCATAGCTTGTGTTTCTGCCTCATTTACGAATCCCCAGATTTCTAATGTATATCAATGCAGCAACACATTGGCATATGGTTGTAGCAATGGTTTAATTTAGAAAAAAATCTGTTTTACTTTGTTCTAATATACTTTAAATATTGTTGTTAAGTGTTTATATCCTATCACATTTCACCATCTCTCTGTGTCAGACTTTTTATCCTTCTACTATAGCTGAAATTAGTATTCAAAAACAGTTTCAACTGAACAAGTACGATTTTGCAATGCAGATCCCTAAATATTTCAAAAATTCGCTTCTTGTATATCTAAAACATGATATATTATTCGGGATGTACAAGATTATTTAATGGAGATATTTATAAAAGTATAAAAACAAATGTCATGTAGAGTTAGAAATGAATCACATGTAAAGTAGCTTTAGAGGATCAGGCTTGTGCACACATTATTAAAAAGATTCCATCTTGTTCTATTGTAGTTTTGTCGACAGTTACAGTGCAATGTTATTATAAAAATAACAAAGTTATGCAACCTACCTATTTGTTTTACTGCTTGTAAATAATTGACAATTGTATAATATCCTTGCACATAAGCTAAATCGGAAGGAATCTGATGTTTGCTATTGAAAATATTGAAGTTAGCTCCCGCTTCAATTAGTATCTGAACAATTTCCGGAAATCCTCTGTAACAAGCTAAATGTAACGGTGTATCACCACTATCCGTTTTCTCGTTTAAATCACATCCATATTTTATCAGTAACCTGAAATATTTAATTTTCTTTATTGTGATATTTAAATTCAATTGGTCAATCACTAAGATATTTGTACACATAGATTTGTCATTATTGTCTTGGTAGTTTTTTTTCTACTGGATAAAGGGGACATCAGCACTTCGACATGATGGGCCGGGAAGGGGGGTCAAATACTTAATTAAAATGTGAAAATAGTGGTAAGAGTTTGTATGCATAAAGGAATGAGATTGTTCGAGGAACGGTTACATATTAAAATTAAAAACTTATTTGTTTTTTTAATTAGTTATTATTGAACGGCAGAAAAGCATCAAATGAAGTATACGTGTTGTGACGTTTTTTTGTTGTTGTTGTTTTTCAGGGGGTTAATCATTCAATGAAAATAGGAAATTCAAAGCAAATTAGCATTATTGCTAAATTTGATAAAAAATGAATTTTATTTTTTGTTTATAATTTAAACTGTTTTGGGTGAAAGCCGTCATTTTGAAATGAAATAACAAGATTGGACATACTCGGATGTCTCGCCTGCTAAAATATTATAATTGTTTTAAAAGAGAAAATGAACTATGAAAATAGGGTAAATGTCAATCAAAGTCTTTAAGATGTGATTATTTCATGGCTCACAACTTATTCATCTGCAGAATATTTTAATATTAGGGTATCCTGGAATATTTCTGATATAAAGAGCTAGTCCCCTCATACCAAATATTGCTGATCCATTATGTATAGTTACTGAGGAACATACCTCTCCTCAAACATTAACCTGATCACTTGAATGTGGAAATGAGACCAAGGCTATATCATATATGTCAGCATATGTTCAAAACCAATTTACATACCAATGATGTTTTATATCATTTGGTTAAGCAAACAAAATTTAAATGGTATGGTTGTATGAGTGAATGACTATAACGGAGTATATGGGTTATAGATGGCGGTTATGGATTCGTGAAAGGGCATTGGAGAAACAAAAAAAACGGGAAAATGAGATCAAGGCCATGTGACATGTGTTAGGCGGATATATCTGTCAGGTGACTATGACTAGCAGATAAGCTTGCGTGCACTCTTTATTGAAAATCAAAGTCCTTCTTTTTTTTACTAAAGGAAAAAGTTTTAATAAGATGGTGCAAATTGTTGACGCAGACAGAATATGAATTCATTCGTCTAGCCTTTCTCGACTTACTATGTTGGCGAGACAACATTTATGACATCTAATGACATGTTACTTAAAACCTTTCTTTACACATTATATACGCAAATGCAAAGTTTTAATATTGTTTACGTGTATTAAATTGGATATCTAATACCACGATTATCAGTACAATGCCCTATATATTAACCGATAAAATGTTTTCCTTATTAGGTAAAGATTCACCCTATATACATTGACATCAATCTTTACGATACTATTTACGTAAGTTTAAAAGTGATTAAACTTGTTTGTGTTTGAAAAATGTGGGGAATATTTGTTCCTGTTTACGCACTTTGAAAAACACAAACATGTGACATTAAAAAAAATATTTCTACCTTTCTTTACTATTATATAAATATATTTATCTGTTTAATTATATGTACATGGAACTTTATGTATAACCCCCGTAAAATGTAGATGATGTTTGTGTGAGATTGTCGTCTTTAAATGAAGACTAAACAAAATAACCTCTCGTGTTCTGATGTGTATTTCAGATCCTATTGAAAACGCAATTTTTTTCATTTATTTATCATTTTTTCAGATACTGAGAATTTATATATATTGTATAAACTTTTTCTCATTCTTTTATGATAGGTATGACGGGGCCTGTAGTTGTTGACATCCTCGCATGATGGTCTCTGTTGAATATTTGTCTTATTGAAAATAATACCACATCCTCTTATTTTTATATGAAATATCTGCCGCTGGTTTTAAACAAAACAATCAATCATTTAACGTTCATAACAAATGAATAAAAATCCAAATTTTCATTAACATAAAAATTAAGACCAAGATGGAACTTGGAACAATGACATACGTTAATTTCCCGGTTTTATAACAGTTTGTCGTAAAGTAAGGAGCACGCATGTATGTTTATATCAGTTCCACTCTTAATTGCATCATGGCAAATGAGGAGGTGCTCTAATTTACAAACCGGATGATTTTTTTTGTCGTAAATTCTTCCTTATTAAGTATACATAGTATGCAAAATTTAAGAATTTAGGATAATAAAGTTCTTTCAAATATAATTAATATCCAAAAAGATTTTACGGTCGAAACTGATATTATTACAATTTGTCTACGCAAGATTAAAAAAATAAAAATGCAAATTTTATCAAATATTTGCATGTGGTAAATATTGAGCTCAAACTTACAAACGTCGTGGTAAATTATTGTGTTGGTACCTACTTATGCTCTTTTTTGTGGATTTAATAACTAGTTTTAAATTGACCAATTTCTTCACAAACGACACCATCAAATTTCTATGAAGACATGAATCTTTAATTGCTTGTATGTTTTGTATTACATCAATTTAAAAATAGATATAAATGAAAATCTTAAATTAAAAAAAAATCTGTTAAAAAATTGGCCGGAAAATTAGACCCTCATTGCATCCGACTCTTTAAGTTTAGAAAAAAATTACCCTCAGCAAAATGATTTGTAAATGTTTTTGAAGTACTCTTTTTTTTTCTTTTTTTTTGTATGTCATAAGAATACATGCGCAAATACGCCTCTAAAACGATACTATCCACTAATCCATAGGTTGAAAAGGCACAGTGTTGTCGAATTAATGCAAAATTTGAAATGAAAAGTAGAAATTTTTCAATACGTGGAAGAACGAAAATATATGGTCAGTTTAAAAGGGAAATGACTGTCATTCATTAACAAGAACAATTTCACTAAAATACGGTTATATGATATCCATGCAGTTGGATCTATGTCTTTCTTAACCGAGCGCCTGTTGGTTGAACAATTCTTAATCTACCATCATTCTATGTGTTTTCTTGATCGTATATAGCCAAAGAACGAATAATTAATGGTAAATTCAATCCCATATATATATATATATATATAGATAGATATGCCCCCCCCCCTAAGTTCTGTCAATAGTCGAAATATTGTAACCCGTTCGAGGTTGTGTATTTATTAAAAAAAAAGTAAGATATTATTTCTATGAAAATACGTAAAAATAAACGAGTGCTAGGGATTGATTCGCTATGAACCATTATAAAATCATGAATGTGAAAAAAGGAGACATGTCACATTTGATATGTGAGTGTATATTCTCACTGCGTTTTCACCTCTTTTTTTTTTTTCATACTTTATTTTCACCCAATTAAAACAAAATCAAACGAATAACAAATAAATAAAAGAATGACTATCGCCAAATAAATAACAAAAAAAACTACATAAATAAATAAATAAACCGAAAGAAAAATGTAAATATATTACAATTTGAGTGTCACATGTATACCAAAAATATGTATATCGTGTTATCTAACCCCAATAAATTAAAGATGCTTTGTACATTTCTTCAAATGTTTTAAAAGAGTAATAAAAAAACCCGAAGAAAGCATGGCATGTATATCATGTGGACCTGATAAAGGGATTTACCAAATGCGTTTATCATAGGAAATAGCAGACTGCTAGTCAAATAGTTTTCATGGTTTTTTCTGTTTGCTAATTTTGCAATTTTGTATTTCAGAATTATGTTGTCAAATTCCTGAAAACAATTTAAAAAAAAAAACATAAGAAAACCGAAGAAAACTAGAGCTGCTATTTTATCATACATACCTTACGATTTCAGGTTGATTATTATCACAAGCTGCGTGTATTGGTGTTGCTCCCCATGCAGTTTTTGAGTTCAAACTAGCCCCTTGAATAACTAGTATGTGTAGTATATCCAAAAATCCACGACAACATGCCCAAAATAATGCAGTTCCATCATTTTTCGAACCTTGTATATCAATAGCAGTATATTTTTTGTTCATTAATATTTTTTTCGCTGTTTCTGTATCTCCACAACGTACTGCATCTATTAACGAAAACGCCATTTCACAAAATACCGTTTGAAAACGTGTTTACCTGTTATAACTGACTAAGGGAAAAACCTATTGAACATTAAACCAACCAATCGCGTGTTTTATTTATAGCTTCCTGAATTTACTTTATAGTTCGATAAATACACGTCAATAGAGTAACAACCTTTATCCACCACCTATCAGCTTTACAATTTTAAAATACCTTTAAACATTAGTACTTTAGGTACATGTTTGATTTACTTTAACTTTTTTCCTGCGGACTATATATATATATCATTCAAAAATGTTTGTTTTGATTAAATAATACATGTATATTGTCCGCGACTTCCTTTTATAACTTGAACTGAAGTCATTTATCTCAGCAATATTTTGATCATTTTTTTTTGTTATGGCAATAACAAAACGTCATTTGTGTACTTTTTATTCAATTACTTAAAAAAAAACCTTGCAGTTTCAAAAATAGGAAGTTCCTTTCAACTCCAACTATGTTAAAATCAGCATGTATCCCGGATTGGAGCGTCAATCCTACACTACCGCATTTAACCGAGTAGTAAAGATATTGCGCACATTTGCCTAAATTATAATGACATGTTCTAAACATGTACTTTATCTTGTCTTAACTTTGTAAAAATAAACAAACAAAAGTACTAATTGTTCTTAGTATGGGCCAATTAGGATGTTTACTCACCGGAAGGGTTTGCAGTTTTTGTTCCACCACAAAGGCGCTTGGGGGCATGGGCCCCTTTTTATTTCCCGTTTTGTGTGTTTAATCTTTGTTTAGTAAATATATTCCATAATATTTAAACTTTTTTTTATCTTTAACTTATTTGATATGTTCTTGCTTTTATCCACACGATATATAATAACAGTAGTTTATACATGCCCATCCTCTATTCTTAGACAAATTGGCCGCGTCTGAAAATCTGTAAATGCATACCGTTTAAAAACTTTACTGTATTCCCTGTTAAATCTTTAGAAGAAAACTGTTACCTAATCATGATTGGAAATAATTTCTGCTGTATAAGTAAATTCTAACACAATACACAGGGGCTCCGCTGAGTCAGACTCAATACAATCTTCAACTGTTTCGTTTTCATAGGAATCATTTATAGATTCTATGTGAATTTAACATTTCCTTTATGCAAAAAAGAAAACCAATCAGATGGTTTGGATTATCCGTATTATGTACTTTTAGACTTGTGTCCGAGACCCTCTAAACCATCTTGGTGCACACAGGAGAAATCTAATAAAAATCAAAATAACTGGATTTTTATTTGAAAAAATGTATGGATACGGTAGATATTCACGCATCACATTTCGAAAATAATAGGGTTTAATAATAATACGCTAATGTCTCGGACTGTAGCAACTGATGTGGTGGTGGTACAAGTTCTTCTACTTTCAAGTCCGTGCTCTCCACTAAGAGTCAAAAAGTAAACAATCATATGATTACCACATTTCAGTTTATGGTGTCTTCTGAACATTTGAAGGTCCAAACTATGTACTGTCTTCCTAAACTACACAAAATAAATAGTCAAATGTCGTTTCATCTCGTCTTTTAGTTTGTGTTCTACAACTATTATTTCTGCCCTTTTTTTTGCTATGAGTGTTTAAAATAAATTACGTGCTTTTGATGGTCCATTCGATTTGGTTGATAGTTATGAATTTTCTATTCTCTACATTACCACAATCTTATCACACAGAAGTTTTCTTTTTTAATCAAATATAGAAAGCCTACTACTTCTATATTGAAAAAGGTAAATTTATACTGAGCAGTCTCAGATCTGTACTTTGTGTCTTGTGTGTTTTTGTTAGTTTTTTTTTCTTGTTCTTTGTATCGATTTGATAAGTAAAGTCCTTTTCAACTGATTTTTATATGACCGCAAAAAAGTTTTTGGGATCGTATAATGGTATGATGTCGTCGTCGTCTGCGTCGTCTGCGTCGTCGTCCGAAGACACATTAGTTTCCGGACAATAACTTTAGTTTAAGTTAATGGATCTCTATGAATTTTTTTTAAGAAGGTTCAATACCACAAAAGAAAAGTTGGGATTGATTTTGGGGATGATGGTCCAAACCGTTTAGGAATTAGGGGTCCAAAAGGGGCCCAAAACAAACATTTTTCTAGTTTCAGGATAATAACTTGTGTATAAGTATTTCGATTGCTCTGAAATTGTACCACAATGTTTAATACCACGAATAGAAGGTTGGGATTCATATTAGGGGTTATGGGGCAAACAGTTTAGGAATTACGCCAGCACACATGTTTAACCCCGCCACATTCTGTATGACTTGTGCCTGTCCCTAGTTAGGAGATTGTAATTCAGTGATTATCGTTTGTTGCTGTATATCATAACAGTTTTTCCTTTATTGTTTTGTACATAAATCTCGTTTGAACTGTTTTGCACTTTTCATTTAGCTTACTTTGCGGTATGGGTTTTCTCATTGTTGAAGGCAGTATAGGTTGATCTTGTATGTATGATGTTATGAATAACAGTTTATTGGGAAAACTCAATAATGATTCTTCTAAATTTCATTCAACGGAAAATTTAATAACAGTTACCGTTATTTTGCTTTAAATAATCAAGATTTGTGTAACTTTTGCGGATATGTAATCCAAGCCAAGGAAACTTACTTTAAATACATTTTAATTTCACAACAATAATTATCATTTCCTAGGTTTAACACATTATAATCTCAACTTGTATTATTCGTTCAACGTGCTGTGAGCAAATACACTACTAGTATTCAAATATAGTCGATTTCGATCAGCGCTAATCACAATATTTTGTTTTGACGGGTAAATTTAGTGTTCCAAAACTTAGAGTTGAGTAGAGAAGAATAATGAGACAATAAGAAACATAACGTGTGTCTTGGATATTTCAGTTTCACATGGAGAAATTTATATAAAAAATGACGATAAAAGAGACGATTTTTCGTTTCCTTTTGTTCATACGTTCGCCAATTCCGTGGCTGTAGTGACGTGTTGGATTACAATGAACGCCATTTGTATATTTGAAAAATGATTAAGCCAGCTAGGAATTTCATAACAACAAGTTCATTAAAACTTTTAACTAAATTATTTCATGGATACACAGATTTTATTTGGAAGACTGGCAGTACCTTTCAAAACCTAATTACAAATGGGATATGAAATCCTAATTTTTACGATGATGTTGTTTAATGATCTCGTAAATTAAGATTCGATCCCAATAAACTAGTGTTCCTATGAAACTCATTGTAAAAGGTTTGTAGAAGGATCTTTGTATTATATTACCCATATCGGTACTAACATCGATTTTCTTCTTTAAAGTTTCATACATAGCTTAACCTTAACACGTATTATTTGTAATGGTCTTACACCCTGTCTATTTTGACATTGCACATTACGGGTCACTACCTTTAACTTCTTCGCACTTAATTCATTTGAGGTGTACTGATTGACGTTTTGGTATCGGAAAACATGGTTTATCAATAAGTTGAAATTGAACTTTGAACTATAGTTTCACTGAGTAACTGTGAGTATTCCTAGATCAGATCTGTGTGTCTATTGTCTTTTTGTTATTTGTTTTTGTGAAATATGTACCGATAAGATGAGTCAAGCCCTTCCAACAGATTTTTACAGCTTGTTGAATGTTCTTCAACCAGTCTTCGGAGGTAAGGGAACTATTTTTGCGCTTACAAACATGTTAAATCCCGCCACATTTTACTATTCATCTGTAAGTGTAAGTCATTTCATTTAGATGAAGAAAATACGATCTATCTCTTTATTACAATTGTTTTACTAATACCGAAAATATTTTGATTTATATTAACTTTGTATTAGTAATATAACACGAGATTACTCAATATTAACGTGTCAATTCATTTAAGGAATGTTCAGTAAATTTACCTATTATCATTTGTAGCAAGGAAACAAGTTCAGTGACACCCGTTTTTCTTTTAATTTTCTGAAAGAACACTATAAAGTCTTCCCATATTTTATTTTTAAATATATCGAGTAGTTTTCTTTCTATTGTATATCACACAAAAGTAGTTTTTCCACCTATAATTTATAACCTGTAATTAGAAAAATAGCTCATGAACAATTATATTTTTGAAAAAAGCATGATATAAGGGAACAATCATTATTTACCAGGGGGAGGGGATTTTGTTCATACTTAAACTGGGAGGGGGAACAATATAAAGTCTTCTCATATTATATTTTTAAATATATCGAGTAGTTTTCTTTCTATTGTGTATCACACAAAAGTAGTTTTTCCATCTATAATTTATAACCTGTAATAAAAATAAAAAGCTTATGAACAATTATATTTTTGAAAAAAAGCATGATATATGGGAACAGTCATTATTTACTAGGGGGAGGGGATTTTATGGGGGTGAAATTTTGTTCATACTTAAACTGGGACCCGGAGGGGGGGGGACAATATAAAAGTCTTCTCATATTCTATTTTTAAATCTATTGAGTAGTTTTCTTTCTACTGTTTATCACACAAAAGTTGTTTTTCCATCTATAATTTATAACCTGTAGTTAGAAAAATAGCTCATGAACAATTATATTTTTGAAAAAAGCATGATATAAGGGAACGGTCATTATTTACCAGGGGGAGGGGATTTTAGGGGGATGAAATTTTGTTCATACTTAAACTGGGAGGGGGTGGGGTGCTCAAATTAATTTCAGGGCGCAATGGGGTGAGGTCGAAAAACTAGACCAGAATTATTGACTATAGAAAAATTTACGCAGCTCATTTTCTGTTCATTTATTGTGAAACGTTGAGATGATTAATTCTTGCTTATTAAATAAATGCCTTCAGATCACCAATGGAGCTTTTATAGACAATGTAAACTGTAACTGAACAGCTTAATCTCTGGTCATCACAGCTTTACCTCTTTGATCACCATATTACACCCTTCATGTATGTAAAAACTATGGTCAAGGATTTTTACCGTAAGACTATACAAATTCTTGCTGTGATTAGAGGAAAATTATCGGATGGATAAAGCAAGGATTTGTAGAGTCTCACTATACAAATCCTTGGATAAAGTGAAGAAAATTTTGCATCAATTACAAATCCTAGATAAAGGATACAAGCAAATTTTTGGAGCTAAGAGAAGAGTAGAGTTGGCAAGACTTAAGTTGGAATCAGAGACAAAAAGAATAGCCTTAACCGTAGAAAGGCTGTTAACAGGACATTGAAAATTCTGGTTTCAAAGTGTAATATAATGATTTGAACAAACAGCTGTGTCCTTCCATTGAAATTCAAGACCCTTTGTTTTCTCGTCATGAATGAATTGTATGACTAGCAAAGAAAAGTGTCCCTTTAGTACTTACAATAACAATTGGTTAAAATTTCCTTAAAGAACACAAAAATGGCAAAAGCTCTATTTGTTTTATTCGAGAATGTGTTTGATCATACAGCAAAATGTTCAATTTTGGAAAACTTGGATAATCCTGTGGCAGAATCATATTGGGAACATAAAAAACAGCATGAAAGTTGAATAGAGACTATCCATCAGGGAGTGTAGAAGAATTGATTGGTCGTGGAGGTGAAGAGCAAATCTATGGAGAGTGAAAGCTGTCAAAGAGAGACTGAATGATGTAGCAGTCTAGAGTAAACAATGCATGTTTTGCTTTTATATTGTATAACTATTACATGTACAAATGTTATTAATGTAAACTAAATTTCACATGTATAGCAATTAGGGGGGGGTCAAAATTTTCAAATTGCTTCTTTAGGGGTGTGATTTCTTTTATTTTACCAACCTAATGACTGTTCCCTAAACTACATCCTGGCAAAGTATAGCATTCTATCTTTTCTGATTAGCACTAGAAACTGGTTGATATACCAAATAAATAAAACTCTCTGTATGTATCCCTTTATCAGAGACATATATAATTATGCGGCTCTGTCTGTCTTCAATGTGTAACTGTTCTTATCTACACCTTGGAAATGTGCCGCATTCGGAAACTTGTGGAGAGTCGCATACGGTTCTGATATTATTTTTCATCAGATACTTCCGGACACGCAAAATGACAAATGGTAAACTTCTCAGATTAAATTTACCGTGACAGCTCCCATTTTATACACATTAAAGGTCCCTGACATTGATAATTTGAGATAGTGTTGTAGGGCTGCTGACGGAGACCGAACTATTGGTCAGATCCAGATTCGTACTTATTAACTTTGATTTCTAAAAGAATTCTTAAGGTTCATGTGGACCCTTTGGCTAAAATGGCTGCATTTTCACCTCAAAATTTACCTCTGAGTACAGAAAAACCTGTGTATCTGGAAAAGTTATAAGGCATAGCCAAAGGGTCCACATGAACCTTGAATTCCAAACAGCGAAATCAAATCACGTGCATAGTAAGACCCATACTTTAATACACCTTATCGCTATTTGTCCGCCATTACTGGACATCACACAAGTTCCCGTAAAATTTTGACGTCATAATAGAAAATGTCTGACGCCACAATGGAAAAGTGATTGTTGTATGACGTCAAAAGTTCAAGCGGGACAGATTCTCGGGTCAAGCGGGAATAGCGATAAGGTGTATATAGTTGTAGCGTACGAGATCCACATACATCAAACCTTTACCATCACATGAAACAAGTGCATGTGTTACAAGTAATTTCCAGACCTTTTGGCTATTTATACTCAGTTGGAAAGTGCCAGTGGGCAGGCCATGATCTTCCCGTCGAAATGACGATTTAAGTTGCCAAAAAATTTTGAAAATCGTTAAATCTCGCCATCGGACTGACTTCATGGCGAAGTCAAATCGCTATGAAAATTGGTAAAAGGGAGACAACTTGTGAATTACAAGTCTCCCAGGTAAAAAAAAAATGGTGACTGACAAGGAAAATCGAGATTTTCAAAACGAAACCAGGACTAATACTGTCAACAATCAAATTAAATAAATACAACGGCGACTTTGAACATCCTCAGATATAACATTCAAAACTATTCAAACGGAAATTGACCGTCTGTTAAAGTTATCATTTTACGATGATTTTTATCTGAGGATGTTGCATAATCACTCAGCTGATTTGTTTTATTTTTATTTATTACGAGTCGATCAGATTGTACTATTCGGTGGGTTAAGGGTGGGAATTAACGGTAAATTTATTATATTCATTGAATAAAAATTGAAATATAAAAGGTAGAAAGACAGCTGATGGATAATGTGATTGCAAACGTACGACACTCGACCATCTGTGATCAGCAGTGGATTTTTTTTCACGACAATTTCGTTGATAGGGAAGATATCTTTAAAAAATGATAGAAATTAGTTATGTATCGTTTAATTAATATGTAATTGACAGATATTTTCCTTTATAGACTTACAATCTTTAACGGGAATCTCAATTTACAACTACATGTAACATGATGTCCTGAACATTCAATAATGTTTGACGAAATAATGACAAGTGGTGATATAAATTAAATTCCCAGTCATGTGAAATTCATCAGGTAAACTGGGAGTCATATTTTTCTGGACATTTAAAAATAAATTGAGGCAGATGCACATGAATTTAATGCATCATAATATTACTAGGCTACTCCCTCATGTCCCAAGCAACAAATTTTATTTAAACTTAAATTCAATATGACAGTACAATTGGTATCAATGAATAAATAACAACTATATTGTCTAAACCTTTTTATAAAGAACTTTCTATATATACATTTTGTACAATAACATGAAAAAACTGCAAGTATATTTTTCATTGCATATAAAACAATTCCTTAGTGATAAGCACGAGGGTCTCATTTCTTGTTAGGTTGGGGGTTGTTCTAGGTAAGGGTTTATGTTATATGCTTAGGGCTGTTGTTAAAAAATATGAGGCAGGTAGTACCTGGTGAGCTCCTGAAGGTTATTGGTATGAAAATAAGATGTGGTATGATTGCCAATTAATCCCTTTGGGACTCTTTCAGAAAGGATTTTCTGTTTTGTGTGCTTAATCAGAAAACCATGCTGGACAAAATCCCAAAAGGTATTACATTGCCAACGAGACACTATCCACTAGAGACCAAAACATGTAGATGTAAGCAACTATAGGTCACTATAAGGCCTTTAACAATGAGCAAAACCCATACTGTATTGTAAGCTATAAAAGGCCCAATTGGCAACATGATTAAATGTAAAACAAATCAAGGACACCAGGGGCCTGAGTTATGTGCAAAACAAATATATAGACAATAACAAACTACAACCACTGAATTACAGGTGGTTTAACAGCACAACATTTTTTTGCGGTCTTATAAAAACTAATACCAATCTAAGAGTACTTCCACAATACAGTTATTGAAAGCTAGTTCAAATCCAATTACAAGTAATAAATAAATCATGTTTCCTAGACTTAAATATCAATCATTACACATCCAAAGAATTTAGGATAAAGAGATCATAAACAGTACGAGAAAAACATGACCTTGTGCAATGTCAGAATAAAAATATTGACATGATGTAGGACCACAATTGTTCATATCTGTATTAGAATTCATACATGTATTAAGTACTGTTAAATTCATGAACAACAAAATCAATTTAAGTACAGACAAAAACAATATCCAAAGAATCCTCTTACAATTAGTATATAATTGATAACATTTTCGAATAAGTTTATATACTATAGTATATAAGATAGATAAGCTTATATGGATTGTATATAACTTATTGGCTCTATAAAAATCATCACCATACTCCTTTATGGTGTACTTAGATAAAAATCATCACCATACTCCTTTATGGCGTACTTAGATAAAAATCATCACCATACTCCTTTATGGAGTACTTAGATAAAAATCATCACCATACTCCTTTATGGTGTACTTAGATAAAAATCATCACCATACTCCTTTATGGCGTACTTAGATAAAAATCATCACCATACTCCTTTATGGCGTACTTAGATAAAAATCATCACCATACTCCTTTATGGCGTACTTAGATAAAAATCATCACCATACTCCTTTATGGAGTACTTAGATAAAAATCATCACCATACTCCTTTATGGAGTACTTAGATAAAAATCATCACCATACTCCTTTATGGTGTACTTAGATAAAAATCATCACCATACTCCTTTATGGCGTACTTAGATAAAAATCATCACCATACTCCTTTATGGCGTACTTAGATTACTCCTTTATGGTGTACTTAGATAAAAATCATCACCATACTCCTTTATGGAGTACTTAGATAAAAATCATCACCATACTCCTTTATGGCGTACTTAGATAAAAATCATCACCATACTCCTTTATGGAGTACTTAGATAAAAATCATCACCATACTCCTTTATGGAGTACTTAGATAAAAATCATCACCATACTCCTTTATGGAGTACTTAGATAAAAATCATCACCATACTCCTTTATGGCGTACTTAGATAAAAATCATCACCATACTCCTTTATGGCGTACTTAGATAAAAATCATCACCATACTCCTTTATGGAGTACTTAGATAAAAATCATCACCATACTCCTTTATGGCGTACTTAGATAAAAATCATCACCATACTCCTTTATGGCGTACTTAGATTACTCCTTTATGGTGTACTTAGATAAAAATCATCACCATACTCCTTTATGGAGTACTTAGATAAAAATCATCACCATACTCCTTTATGGCGTACTTAGATAAAAATCATCACCATACTCCTTTATGGAGTACTTAGATAAAAATCATCACCATACTCCTTTATGGCGTACTTAGATAAAAATCATCACCATACTCCTTTATGGCGTACTTAGATAAAAATCATCACCATACTCCTTTATGGCGTACTTAGATAAAAATCATCACCATACTCCTTTATGGCGTACTTAGATAAAAATCATCACCATACTCCTTTATGGCGTACTTAGATAAAAATCATCACCATACTCCTTTATGGAGTACTTAGATAAAAATCATCACCATACTCCTTTATGGAAATCATACCTATCATCTGCTTCTTTATGATGTTTACAGAAAAACCACAATGAAGCAAAATCATAGCTCATTAATATATGTCTCTCTATCAGACATAAAAGCATGATAACATCACAAGTTGTGACATCTTTATAAGATTGTGATATCTTAATAACTTGTTGAAGGGTTATTTAAGTTTCAATGAGATCATTCATGGAATAAATTCCCTTACTTATTACTATATATGATTGTGCATGTTTCAGTAATAATATTACTTAATAATTCATTTATTAACTTGTTGCATATTGATTAACCAGACCATTTTAGTAAAAAGAAATGATTAATTTTTGCAGCATACTCATTTGAGGGGATTCTGGTGTTTAGTCTTTTGGTTATTTGTACCTGTGCATATATGAGAAGAGTGCCACGTCTTAAACAGTGGTTTTTGTCTGAGAAAAAAGGATTCCTTGGGGTATTTTATAAAGGTAAGTTAGTATTCCTTGTACAGTGCTTAAAAAGACTAAAACAAATTATGTAATAAAAAAGAAATACTATAAATTTAGAGATAATGAGAATTCACAAAATGAAAGGTATATAAAATGGTGATCTGTCAGATTATTATAAGATTTGCTACACTAGTAAAACAGATGTATACCCGAGGAACTGTGTCTGAATATTGAAAACATATAGATTTTTGATTTTTTTCTTATTTTAGATAAAATTTGTAAAACAAAAAAGGTGTAAATATGTAGAATCAACGGGAAAATAGTCCAAAAAATGATTAAATGTCACTCAGAAATGTTTAAACAAAAAGAGGTGACAATTAACACAGGAATACATTAAAAAAACAAGAATTTACAACTGAGACACATATATAATAGCATAGGACATGTGGTACTTAAAAGTCAGGTTATATTAAATAGGTTAGAATGTCTTGAATAAGTACATATGCATTATGGCATTTGAAGCTCAATTTCTGAATGTGCTGAAATATGAACAGCAAAAATATCACATAATTTACAATGGGAGAATTGTGTTAAGCTATTGCCATCTGATGCTTAAATGTGTCACTTAAAAAACAATCAAAACTGCACTGCCATAAGTCTGCCATCTGTATTGTAATGGAGTTTTAGAAATATGTAAAATTTGTACTAAGAAAATTAACTCAATCTTAACCATTGAAATGAATCTTTTAAAGGAGAATTAGCTATGATTCAGACAAAAAATTAAAATATGATTTTTCTTTTTGTTTCAAACATTTATAAAAGCAGAATACTGAAACAATATTTTGCTATAAGCAGACAATTTGGTTCAATTTTGTCAAAATAAGCTGATGTATTATCAGCTTGCAATAATTTAACCTCATTTGAATCTCTATTCATACAACCTTCAATTTGACCCTAAGGTGGAGATGGGTTGCTTATGTGTTATTTAAAAGTAAATTTCAACATTTAAAAAATGAAACAAGGAAGCCATCAGGAAGAATCATTTTTGTTGACAGATTAAACACACAAAAAATCATTCTTATACAGGTATAATGATGATTTACATAAGACCATCAACATTCTTGAGAGGTCATTTTCATGGGTAATTAGATGGTGTTTAGTCTGAAAAACACACAAAGTTTTGATACATTATAAGGATTCCATGCATTATTAATTGCTTCTTTTTGAGTATTTGTAATTTGGCTTTTGGGTTTGGTATGTTATAAATCAAATATGAAAATTGGAGTCAAATTAATGAACATGAATTTGACAGCTAGTGCCCCCTATTGCCTGAACAGACACATATTTCAAGTTCAAGGAACCATTCTGTATAACTGTATTTATAATTAAAGTTCCAAATAAAATATCAAGTCTATAAAAACTGAAATACTTTACCAATAAAATATAGTAACAATATTCATTTTGAAAACAACAATATATAGACTGTTGAATAAAATTATACATTATCACTTGTGTTTTCTATTTCAGCATCAGTTATTGGCACAAGATTACATATACCAGTGGCTTTATCATGTCTTCTTATGGGATTTTATATACTTGTCCTGAGGTGATTAAAGAGACAGTCATTGTTTAAACAGTGCTCATCTTAAATAGAGGGAATACACAGGGGTATACGCTGGAGGTCTTCAGAAATATATCTTTGCAATTTACAATAAAGCAATTTCTGTGATGTATTGACTAAAAATATCATGTTTTTATTCTTAAGATTTAATGAAACAATGTTACCATATAATATGTACTGTATATATAATTTATATTTATTATTTTTCTCATTGATCATGTAAAAATAAAATATCATGATTTTTTTAATTGGTGTGCTTGTGTAGCAGGTGATTGTTAGATCACTTGGTCAAAGGCCATGTGATTTTTTTTGCCATCAGTTTCAGTCCAACGGTTTGTCTGGAAACCATAAAAATATCTTCTCCCGAGCAGTTATATGACCAAACTTGGCAGACATCTTTATTTAAGTGTTTGATGAGTGCAAGTTCTTATTCTATTTCTCATTCACTTAAAAATTTTCTGGAGAAATATAAAATGATATTAGGACAAAATGTTCATTGGGTTACTTTGTTGCTAAATGGTTAATAAATATCACTATCAGCAGAAGCCTTAGTTTTACTAAAAATAGAATGTAAGGGTAAATTGCATGTGATTAATTAATATCTTGAAAACCATTATAGATAGAGAAAATCTGATCAGTATGTTAATATTTAACTTTGCTAATAGTCAACAAAAATAATCAGATAACTACTTAAGGGGGAGTTATTGCAGACTATGTTTGACCCATTTTAGCATTTTTGCCAGTTACATTAAAAGCTATAATAGATCACAAAAAAAAAACCAAATACGATCTACAGCAATACATGATTTTTATAAAAAAAACATTAATTGACTCTTTAAGAGTTATTGCCCTTACAGTATGATTGTTGTCCAGTTATACTTTTCTAATTACTGTAAATTCAGAAATTTTTGCTTGCATTTATTATGGTGGTTTTAGAAGAATGCACAAAAAAGGGAGAATTATTATTGTGATTTCAGTAAATCCAAATGCAAATAATGATATAAAAATTTAAAATGAGTCAAATCAGATAACTACTCAGAACTTTTGTGATGCCTATGCTGTACCAAATTTGACAATGATAAAAACATCACAAAAATTTCTGAATTTATAGTATTATCTTGGATTTTTTTTATAGTACTAAAATTTCTGCATAAGAAGTATAACAGACAGGCACACAAACAGAGAGATCCTATTGCTATGCTGTCCCACATTGTTTCCAGGTACAGGGGATTACAATCATGAAACAGAGTATGAGAATCCCACAAAAAAAAGGAGTCCCAGTTTACATTTTATCACCATTTCTACGTTTCAAAAGTTTATTAAATATATTTTTTTTTTTTTAGTTGTGGAAAAGACAGACTGTCAGTTCCAAAAGATCATTTCAAGCTATAAAGTTTTTGACACTTTTTATAAGATTCACACATGTAACTATATGGTGTCACATCTAGTTGACCCTGTAAGCATCCAATTGAAAGTACAAAATGTAGGCCACAATCACCCTATTTCATGCATACTTGGTATATAAAACTGTTGGAATTTCTTCGCAAGAATATTTAGTATTGTAATTTTAAATGAAAGAATAGATATTAATCCCCCAAAATATCAGTTTGTACAATGAATCTTCCTCAAAGTGTATCCTTTCAAATTTACATTGCTAATCTGCAAATCTTTGAAAGGAAGGATAAGCTTTGTTTAGATATCGTCTAAAAATCATTAGAGAAACAGATTCCACCACTAAATCTTGTGTATTCGATATTTTTCCACTCTCAACAGTTAAATTTTAAATATTTAAAAAGCTCTGCAAGTCTTGTGTTTTAAATTTTAAAGTTAAACTGTCTCGAGTGGAGAAATATCGTAACACACTTGATGCAGTGGTGGAATCTTTATTTCTCAAGACAGTGAGAAATATTAAAAATAAATTGCTTCGCCGAGCGCAGCTGGATACGACCGCAGAGGTCCAATCCTGATCAGTTGGGGCAAAAATGGACACAATATTCGCGCTTGATTAGGTCTGAATTTGGATTGTATTTAAATATTTGACACATTATTGGTTTCTGACACAGAATAACTGTAGTCAAAGAACTTAGAATTGGTTATATGATTTGAATTTATATTCAATTTTTGCTTTTGTGCAATACACTATGCTGTTGCGAATTGACCCCCCCCCCCCAAAAAAAAAAACACAAAAAAAAATTACCCCCCCTTTTTTTTGCTTTTGTGCAATACACTATGATGTTGTGAATTGACCCTCCTCCCCAAAAATTTTCTTTTTTTCAAAAAAAAAAAATTTAAAGAAATTTTCTTTTTAATTTCTAAAATTTGAAATGTTAAAAAATTGACTCCCCCCACAATTTCTTTTTTACCCCCACCCCCACCAATGGAGTTTGCAACCATAATTACCCATTTAAATACATCATAAAAGTATAAAAATAGAAAATGACATACATAATCATGGCTAAAATTAATATTCTTTAAGCATTTTTAATAGTAACTTCTTAAAATAAATTGACAGCTAATCACCTCAAGACAATACAACATTTCTTTGTACATAATTTAAAAGCAGTGTAAGGGAGGTAATCCAAACATAACATTGTACTTTTAAGTAATTGTCTATTAACAAGGAAACCCTTGTTTTGCCCCCTTTTTTGGCCCTTATTCCTAAACGATTTGAGCCATAACCCCCCAAAGCCAATCCTAACCATCCCTTTGTGGTATGGAAACTTGTGGTCTAATTTCAGAGAGATCCATACACCTTTCCACAAGTTATTGTCTGGAAACTAGAAAAATGCTTATTTGGGCCCCTTTTTGGCCCCAAATTCCTAAAACTGTTAGGACCATAACCCCCAAAATCAATCCCAACCTTCCTTTTGTGGTTATAAACCTTGTGTTTAAATTTCATAGATTTCTATTTACATATCTAAAGTTATTGTCCGGAAACCAAATGTCTTCGGACGACGCAGACGACGTGATACCAATATACGATCGCAAAATTTTTTGCGGTCGTATAATAATACTCCGCTTCCATCCATAGTATGCATGCATGAAGTGACAAGAAAATAAATAAAACATAGTCCATGTGTTGACTGACAATTGAATTGAAAACAGCATTGCTTCAAACACCAGATCAAAATTTTCCTTCATCTAAATGTTTGGTTGCTGTCTCAATGATGTATATACCCATTGTCTCTTTTTATATGCTATAACTTTTTTCACACCTAAGATTAGAGGTGAACTAGGAAAGAACTGTTTCAGGAGACTCCCTTCATCTGTACTAGATATTCCCAGTTGTGATATGATGTATCAGTTTTAAAAATACTAAAAGCTTATGTTCGTGTTGCTCAGTCTTTGGTTTTCTATGTTGTTTTGTGTACTGTTGTTTGTCTGTTTGTCTTTTTCTTTTTTAGCCATGGCGTTGTCAGTTTCTTTCAAAGAACAAAAACATCATGGACTGATACAAAAATTTTCCAACAAATCAATTACATATATATTATTTTTGACTTTCATATCAAAGGTCAAGGTCATCTACAATAGCACATGACTTACATACAAATATTTTATGTTTTAGTCAAAAGAACAAGAAATCCAACTGAAGCAATGTCTACCTTATTCCAGACACAAACAAAAATGTGTCCATAGTACATGGATGCCCCACCTGCACTATCATTTTCTATGTTCAGTGGACCGTGAAATTGGGGTCAAAACTCTAATTTGGCATTAAAATTGGAAAGATCATATCATAGGGAACATGTGTACTAAGTTTCAAGTTGATTGGACTTCAACTTCATCAAAATCTACCTTGACCAAAAACTTAAACCTGAAGCGGTACAGATGGACGAACAGACGGACGAACGAACGAACGGACACACAGACCGAAAAACATAATGCCCCTCTACTATTGTAGGTTGGGCATAAAAATATAGATGCATTATTTTTTTTATTATGAGAATATTACCAAAAGTAATGGTCTTGGCTTTAGGATGAGATGCATGTATAAAAGTGGTACTGGTTATTTTTTAACAAAAAAGACATAATATACTGTTTGTTAATCAACTTTATTCAATAGAAATTTGTGATATCAAATAATCCAATAAATCTCATTTCAGTGAAGGGACTTCAAAAAATTTTCTTGTCAAAGATGACAGAGTTCACAATAATGCAATTGTCATACAAATGTATAAAATTTTTACAACAATCATTCAACAACAGAAATTTATAACATTGTCTGGTTTATTTCTTTGTTTCATAAATCAGTCATTTAAAAAATCTAAAGCTACACCTATCTTCATTATTTAACAATATTTTATAATTACATTACATGTATGTTTCATTATAATACGTTATTTTGATTGGCTAACAGCAATCTCGCGTCATTCTGGAATTAACCTTCATTTCAAAATGAAATGTAACGTTCATGATGACACAAGCTTCCACAATAAAGTGCACAGGTAAAAAAAGAAAAACTTGATAGAAATCATGTTTTCATGATCCTAGGAAAAAAATGTAATTTTAAGTATTGAATGCTTCTTTTAGTAATTTTATAGGGTTGTAAAAGCGTTGACCATGGGCACATTTTTAGAATGAAGCGCTTCTGTGCTTCATACAAAATGTACTTTGTCTATTTTCGTGGGTTTCGTGGGTACAGGTGATCCACGAATTCAAATGTTCAATGAATTACAAATTTTCTATATGCTTTGTATACAGATAATAACAAAACCACGAAATCAAATATCCACGAAAATAAATGAATCCACAGTATGGTACTTTGTATACTACCTCTTTGTATTTCTAAATGAAGCTTAATCTTGATATCCTTCCACATCAAAATCTAGCAATTCTCTTACTGGTTAAACCCAGCCAAATTTTGTGGCTGTACCAAAATCAGTTTATTTGAAGTTTATTTTTTTCAGAGAAGTCTATATGTTTGCTGATGTTGTCAATTGAACAATACTTTAAGTGATTCCTGGTATCCTTTTTATGAATATCTTAACTTCTTCTCGGCAAATTTTTGGACAAACAACTAGAGACAGTAATTATGTCCTCTATTTTCAAAGGTTGGTCGTCAAACCAACTAATGAAATAATTAAATGACATTTATAATATTTCATTCAGTAATCATACAATCAATAAAAATTCAGCAAAGATGTCTAGATTCCACAATGAAAAAGGGTATAACATCCTACATGTATTGCGTAAGAAAAAGAAAAAGATGCCCTCTGTTTGGAAAGGCACTGAAAATATCATATTTCAAAATATAAAAATTAATAAAAAACTACTCTCTGTATTTGATTGGCTAAACTTCAATATTTATACATACATTTGTTATTAAAATTACTTCATTTGTAATTTATGGTTATCTTCAAAAGAACAATGTTCTTCAAGATCAAATATGAGTGCATAGAATCCACTTTAAATGACTAGATTAAATTCAACTTTTGAGTATATTTAAGGAGGTAAGTCTCAACAAGGACAATTAACTACAATTTAAACAAACCTTCCTTCCACAACACATAACATCTGTCAAAAATTTTCCCCTTGTATAAATTTCCCATGAAAAATAACATACAATATACAATGAAAGTGAAAACACATTACATAGTTGAGCATGCTACCATGAAACTGGCTACCAAATATGGAAAGCTCTGATTTATAGTTCCTGAGAAAAATAAGATGGATATTAAATAGGATTGACAGACATAGAGGTATACCACTCTCCTACAGAGCGCTAATATAAAAATACTGGTGATGGTGATGTTTGCATACTATGTTCATTATCTCTACTATGAATAAGATGGACAAAGGACAAAGAAGTAAATTCAGAGAAACAGACATACCAGTAGTTGTCAATTTCTACGACATTTGGTCTCTGGTGGAGGGTTGTCTCATTGGCAATCATACCACATCTTCTTATTTTTATGATGATTCCTGTGTACCCCAAACTTTATTTCAGGTATAAATACCATCAAAGAATGACAGATGAATGTAATCCCAAGTAAAAGATCTCCACATCCATCTTCTGTGAAGTTACATTTTATTACAAAATATTCAGAATAATGATTAATTAAACAAAGCTCATAATTTGGTAAAGGAAAGCTAAGATTTAAATTTTCTTCATACAATCAAGGGACAATTCTTTGATAGATATTAGGAAAGTGAAAACTGAACTCAACTGGTGATTAGTGATATTGATTGTAAGACTTGGTGGAGTTTTGTTTAGATAGACAAAACAAACAAATGTATGACACACAGAACGGTTAGATTTAAAAGCCGTTTTTTACATAATTTTATCAAAGAACACAATTAAATTGTTGGATTTTAATCTGACGTCTGTTTTTTTAATTTAAATCTTCAATGGCTACCAACTATTTCTTAATTAAAATGGCTACCAACTATTTCTTAATTAAAAAGTTTTTATCTGATAACTTAAAAAGAAAATCTAATTTTAATGTAACATTCTGCATTAATATCTGAAATTAATGATTAAAAAAATAATTTTGTAAATAAAATAATGTTTTATAATGACGACACAAAGTATAACAATTGTAAAAAAAAACACAAAAAAAAAAAAACAAAAACAAAATAAATGCTTCTTAGTCTATATTGGTTGTTGTTCACACCATTCAAACACACATTTTACATGATCATAAAAACCAAAGTTTTCAGGTTTATTAAAAAAAAAATTTGGTCCTAGTTATGCTGCAAATCTTAACCTCATCTTTTAACTTCATTTGTACACGGTTGTTTAAATTAAATTAATGTATTAAATTCTATCGGCAGGATCATATTGTGACAGAAAGTCCAATATAGGTTGTTTTTTCCACCATGCTAGTCCTACTATAAAGGTCACACAACATACGCTTATTAATCGTCTTTTTCTAAAACCACTTTTCTTCTTCTTTAAAGTAACGAGATCTGGAGGATTGAAGTCCTTTCGTTTTAATTGCTAAAAAATAACAACAATATACATGTATTCTAATTTTTTATTCAATCTATATCAAAATTACTCTTTAATCATATCTCAAACTACCCTTTAGTATGTGTTTTTATTTTTAGGTCATATTTAAACAAGAATGTGTGTCCATAGGACATCATGCCTTGCTCTCACTATCAGATGACACTATGTTCAATGTAAAATTGTAATTTGGCATATAATTTAAAAAGTTCAACACACAATGAACATGTGCACTAACTTTCAAGTTGAAGTGACCACATCTTTAAGTTAAACTATCTTAACCAAAAACTTAAAACAGAGAATAACTTATTTCACACTATCACGTTTCTATGCTTAGTAAACCATGAAAACAGGGTCAAAACCCTGGTTTAGTAGAAAAACAAAGAATATGGGGTATCCATCCATGACACAAAATCACTACATGCACAGCAAAAAACACACAAAAAGTAAAGGAATATAATTTTAAAGTTCACATAACAATAAACATGTGTACAAAGTTTCAATCGATGTGACCACAACTTCATTGTACACTACCTTAACCAGAATTTTTACCTGGTACAGGACATTTCAAAGGACAGACGGATGGACACACAGACCAGAAAACATAATAACCCCCTACTGCCATAAGCATGGCATAAAAAATCTATATTTAAACCTATTTTTTAAATTTTAAAGCCAAAGTAATTATACAAATTTTTAAGGACAAGTTTCCAATTCCACAACAGGGTGGCAAAAGTTGATTTCATAAGATTAAACAATTGATGTTGCACTATATACCAGTAGTGAAATATAGTGATGAAATTTTATTGACCTACTAGCTTTGGTTGTAAAAAATAAACCTACACACAAACAAACAATTCTGGCTAAAAGTATGGCTTATAAAAATAATATGATCCAGTCAGCACTTTGGCATGTAACATTATTTCAACCTGAAAAAAGTTTCCTTTTTTTGTACCAGAAACTATATTGTACTTTCTTCAGATGGGATTAATTTTGCTTTAATCTTGTATACAAGAATAAATTGTAATGTTTTTAACAGTAAGCGGTAAAGCAATTTTTGATCTGACATAAACCTTATGTAATAATCAAAAGCTGTTCATAAGATGATAAAGTTTTTAGGTGTAAGATTGTTTTCAACATTGTCTTATAAGTAGAAGTAGAACAAAATCCCTCACTAAGACACCATTAAAACCAACTGAATATAGGATAAATTTACCAAATTTAAAGTTCTGTTAAGTTTCTGTAGTTCTGTATATAGTGACTGTACATTTTTCATAGTATCATCTGTATGTTGCAAAAGTAATTCAGGTCCTGTCCCATCCTGTGTAAAAGAAATTAAAGTTTTGTAAATATAATATGGTTAGAGCAGATTTTACAGAGATAAATTTTCCCTGGTAAATAATTGTTTACATAGTCTTGTATGATGCCACAAGATTTCCTAAAGATTATCTTTAAAAAAAAAAAAAAAAAGGAATTTTTTTGATATTTATAGTTCTGGTAAAACCTTAAATATTTTTTACCTGAACATCTAGAATTTCTGGATTCTTTAAAATCTGGTCCCTAATATATCCAGTTGTGCTTCCAATATATTTACAATGCTTACTGATGTTAGCTACCATGGCAATAGATTCAGCACAGCTGTGGAAGACAAAGTGACATGCTATCAGATTAAATACAGCTATAAAGGGCAAAGTAATATGCGTTCAATATATCTAATAATTACATTACATGTATGTTTCATTATAATATGTTATTTTGATTGGCTAACAGCAATCTCGTGTCATTCTGAAATTAACCTTCATTTCAACATGAAATGTAACATGAAATGTAACATTCATGATGACAAGAGCTTGCACAATAAAGTGCTCAGGTAAACAAAAGAAAAACTTGACAGAAATCCTGTTTTCATGATCCTAGCAAAAAAATGCAATTACATGTATAAGTATTGAATGCTTCTTTTAGTAATTTTATAGGGGTGTAAAAGCATTGACCATGCGCACATTTTTAGACAAAATGTACTTCGGTCAACGCTTTTACACCCCAATACATTTACAAAAAGAAGCATTCAATTATTAAATAATAACTTGTACTACATTGAAAAACAGAGATACATGAAAAAGAATCCTGAGATTGAAAACAGGAAAATGATTATTTATTCTTAAATTAATTCTGTTCATAATATATTAAAGAAAAAGAGACTGAGGAATTCTAATGAGGCCTTATGTCCCACTTGGGATAAAGAGGATAAACTAAAAGTAAGAAGCATATTCTATTGCAGTGGCATACCAAAAATCTATAGGACATTCCAAGTTATACAACTGAAACAAATAATTAGTAATTAAGTTCAACATCAGTTCCAATTTTTAACCAATTTATGTTATAAAAAAACATTAATGTAAATCTTTACCTAACTAGAATTCATCACCTTATATCCTTAAATAATGCTGAAAATGACAAACAAAAATATTTTGAGCACCTTTGGCTATGGTTTTAATCATCTGTGACTACAAAAGTATTTTACAAATGATTTTCCTATTCTGAACTTCTCTTCTACTGTTCAGATTTTAGATGTCTAGCTTTCCCAAACATGTATCTCAGGTGAGACAAGTAGATTTTTCCTTGCTGAATAATGATTTGCTTTTATCTTTTAAGAAGTATGGATGATTATCACAATTTGAAAGCATTACATCTGTCAGATGTAATACATATTGTGAGAATAACAAGATTGCACGTATTGCTGTGCTTTGCATAACCCACTCGTAATTCTAAGTATATGAAAACAGGAAGTATGTGTCTGACAGATCTGAAAAGTGTTCTCATGTTACAACTAACCACAGTCAAGCTGCTGACCAAATATGAACTCAGTGTTACCTGAGAAAAATGTGAGAGAAAAAATCTGTGTTGGACAGACAACAAGTAGATGCAATATAGCCCCATTCCTAGAGTGGGGTTATAATAACATAACTTTATCAGAAAAGAATTATTCCTCTACCTTATCTGTTTGTTGTATTGCACTTGTTGAAGACTTGTTGTCTCCCACTCCTTTTTATGAACAGTTCTAATACCATCCAATATTTTCTTTCTAACACCAATCTGATGAATACCCATCTGAAAAAAAATTTGCAAGTTCAAGAAAAAATTTTTAAGATTTACCAATATTTATAACAACAAGGAAAGACAATTCTGTCAATAAATTGACAGCAAGATTGAACAATATCAAAAAGAAAGTTACCTAATTTCTTTCTCTGCACCCATTTGAATAATAATCATCTGTGCCAGAATTTCAAAGGTTGAGACAAGGATTTATCAATCTCTGCCAGTTGAAAAAGTAAATACAATATCAGTGCAGTCTTTGTTTTTTAGAGATTAACATAACTATGGAACTCTAAAATTTGTATAGCTATTGTTTCTTCAAATTAATCTAATAAAATAGTGAGGAAAATCATATACATGTACATGAACTAGAGGCTCTCAAGAGCCTGTGTCGCTCACCTGTATTTAGGCCACACCAATTTGATTAATAGTTCTTTGGATTTTCCCGCTCCGGTTTTGGAGAAATTGACTTTTCAATAAAAAAAATAAATACCGCTTCTGCCAATTTTGGGGCCGCATGCCGCTCCAAAATTAGTTTATCCTTGACATTTTTTTTTCTCTTAGACGTTTTTCTTGTGCATATATTGCTCCGATCGATTCAAACGCACGTGTGATAAATCGATTTATAAATAACAATGAATAAAAGGTCAAAAATCGGGATGATAACATGAAGTTGTGTCAGATCATTGTGGAGGACAAGTAGTTAATGTATTAAACACACAGTTATTTGAAATGCATTTCATTAACCTATGAAGACCTGTTCTAGGAGACAAAAATAAAAAAAATCTTTCGTTAGAGGACCACGATCACATCAGTACTTGTTAGAACCATTGTCATCCCCAATCATTGTTTCAACAGACATAGTCCGAGATTACTCTGAAGACCAACGGCTGTTTTGCCAGACAAGATGAGGCGCTGTTGGACGTCATAGTAATCTCAGACTACAACAGACATAGCTGTCATGGATGTAATTAATATAAAATTCACATGAATTTTTAATAAAATGCTCCGCAGGGCGCAGCTTGATACGACCGCAGAGGTCGAACCCTGATCAGTTAGGGCAAGTATGGACACAACATTCAAGCTTGATACAGCTCTGAATTTGGATTGTGATTAAATATTTGACACAGCATAGGTTTCTGACAGAGAATGGATGTGGTCAAAGAACTTAAAAATTTTAAATTGGACATTCACCTATTATGGTCCAATATTTAAAATCTGAATACATGGTTAGATTCAGCATATCAAAGAACCCCAAGAATTCAATTTTTGATGAAATCAAACAAAGTTTAATTTTGGACCCTTTTGACCTCAATGTGGACAAAGTTGATAACGGGGCCCAAAAATCAAAAATCTAAATACATGGTTAGATTCAGCATATCAAAGAACCCCATATATTCAATTTTGGTTGAAATCAAACAAAGTTTAATTTTGGACCCCGATTTGGACCAACTTGAAAACTGGGCCCATAATCAAAAATCTAAATACATGTTTAGATTCAGCATATCAAAGAACCCTAAGAATTCAATTTTTGTTAAAATCAAACTAAGTTTAATTTTGGACCCTTTGGACCTTAATGTAAACCAATTTGAAAACGGAACCAAAAATTAAGAATCTAAATACACGGTTAGATTCTGCATATCAAAGAACCCCAATAATTCAATTTTTGATGAAATCAAACAAAGTTTAATTTTGGACCCTTTGAACCTCAATGTGGACCAATTTGAAAACGGGGCCCAAAATCCAAAAACTTAATACACGGTTAGATTCAGCATATTAAAGAACCCCAAGTATTCAAGAATAAAACCCCATTGAAATTGGTCAAGAAATAAGCAATTTATACAAAGTATCTTCTTTTGCGCAATACTGTGCAATTGAATATTTCTTGCTATTACGCAATACTGTACAATTGACAATTTCTTGCTATTGCGCAATATTGTGCTATTGGATATTTCTTGCTATTGCGCAATACTGTGCAATTGAAGATTTCTTGCTATTGCGCAATACTGTGCAATTGAAGATTTCTTGCTATTGTGCAATACTGTGAAATTGAAAATTTCTTGCTATTGCACAATACTTATTATATAATAATTTACACATCATGTTTGGTGTGTATCTCCTACCATATCATTATTATTTGCTTTTAAATATAAATCAGAAATAACCAACTTAAAATGGAAAATTTTAAAAGAAATAAAAAAGGAAAAAAAAAAAAAATCCCCCCCAAATTTTTTGAACCCCCTTATGATTCATCACCCCAAACTCAATCCCAGCCTTCCCTTTGTGGTATGGTACCTTGCAGTACAATTTCAGAAAGATCCATACACTTACACACAAGTTATTGTCCTGAAACTAGAAAAATGCTTATTTTTGCCCCTTTTTGGCCCCTAATTCCTAAAATATTGAGGCAATTACCCCCATCATCAATCCCAGCCTTCCCTTTGTGGTATGGTACCTTGCAGTACAATTTCAGAGAGATCCATACACTTGAACACAAGTTATTGTCTGGAAACTAGAAAAATGCTTATTTTTGGCCCCTTTTTGGCCCCCAATTCCTAAACGTTTCGGGCAATTACCCCCAAACTCAATTCCAGCTTTCCCTTTGTGATATGGAACCTTGTAGTACAATTTCAGAAATATCCAAACACTTACACACAAGTTATCATGAAACTAGAAAAATGCTTGTTTTTTGCCCCTTTTTTGGCCCCTAATTCCTAAAATTTTGAGGCAATTACCCCCAAAATCAATCCCAGCATTCCCTTTGTGATATGGAACCTTGTGGTACAATGTCAGAGAGATCCATACACTTACACACAAGTTATGTCAGGAAGTTACAAAAATGCTTATTTTTGGCCCCTTTTTGGCCCCTAATTCCTTAACTGTTGAAACCATAACCCCCAAAATCAATCCCCACCTTCCTTTTGTGGTATTGAACCTTATGGTAAAATTTCATAGAGATCCATTCACTTAAACTAAAGTTAGAGTGCGAAAACTAATGTGTCTTCGGACGACGACGCCGGACGACGACAACAACGACGACGACGCCAACGTCATACCAATATACGACCGCAAAATTTTTTTGCTGTCGTATAAAAAATGACAGATTTATCTTATTTTGATGAAAACCCCATATCCCCTTGTTAGTCTATTAACATGCAATCAGAACACTTTTGTAAGGGAAAATTTAAGAGTTCCAACGTTCGAGACCAAAGTGGTAATACTGGGATTGGCATGCTAATAATAATTAGGGATGTGTTATTGGTGCAACCACTTCCAGTTTGAAATACATTGCAGGTTTCAGGGGCAAAAGGAAAAAGTATTTTGCTAAGTCAGAATAATGCATGTGAATATGGTAAAAGGTGTTTTAAGGGAATGTTTTATTATATTGAGATCTACATGCATATATATAGCAATATAACTATCTTACTCAGGATATTGGTGAAATATTCACCTCACTCATTATGTTGATCCTATTATGAATAAAAAGTTCCATCTGGATGTCAAGCAACCAATAAACAATCATTACCATATAATGAAAACAACTATATCAAAAGATATTTAATATTTTTCAAGGGCATTTTTTGGAATACATACACATATTTTAATTATATTCAAACATTTCATTTACCTAACTAACATAATTCCTCTTGCTAAACTGCATCTGCTATGCTTCCTTAATATACACTCATGTACATGTATGAATTTAAATGAAAATGCATGCAAAGCTTATTTGACGAAAATAGTCAAAATTATACTAAACCAAAGCTAACCAGAAAGTTGGGTATGGTTCAGACTGTACTTCAGGCACAAATGCATCAAATTATATGCATAAGAGCATGTTTCTCCTCCTTCTTCTTTGAAGTAACCCAGTTTTAACATGTACATAAAAATTCTAAATCGCACAATTTAAAAAAAAAAATTATACCGCTCGCTCCACTTGTCATGCTTGTAGAGCACCAGCCTCAACAAAACTCATTTTCAAGAAATATATACAATCAAAAAAATTTCGCTCGCTCGCCCCATATTTTTTGGAGCTTTTGTCCGAAGAACTAAAAATCAAATTGGTGTGGCCTTACTGATGCTTTGGAAATCATGTAAAATAAGGTTAAAATCATAATTAATAGTATTAGATATTAGATATTATATTGATATCTAAGATAATAACAAAAAACTGCAAAATTTTTGTAAAATTACTAACTCAGGGGCAGCAACCCAACAACGGGTTGTCGGATTCATCTGAAAATTTCAGGGCAGATAAATCTAAATCTGATGAACATTTTTGCCACATGTCAGATTTGCTCTAAATGCTTTAGTTTCAGAGATATAAACCTAAAACTGCATTTTACCCCTATGTTCTATTTTTAACCAAGTCGGCCATGATGGTTGGAAGGCGGGGTCATCGGACACATTTTTTAAACTAGATACCCTAATAATGATTATGGCCAAGTATGGTTAAATTTGTCTCAGTAGTTTCAGAGAAGAAGATTTTTGTAAAAGATTACAAAAATTTACAAAAAATTGTTAAAAATTGACTATTAAGGGCAATAACTCCTAAAGGGGTCGACTGACAATTTTGGTCATGCAACTTATTTGTAGATCTTACTTTGCTGAACATTATTGCTGTTTACAGTTTATCTCTATCTATAATAATATTCAAGATAATAACCAAAAACTGCAAAATTTCCTTAAAATTACCGATTCAGGGGCAGCAACCCAACAACAGGTTGTCAGATTTGTCTGAAAATTTCAGAGCAGATAGATCTTGACCTGATAATCAGTTTTACCCTATGTCAGATTTACTCTAAATGCTTTGGTTTCAGAGATATAAGCCAAAATCTACATTTTACCCCTATGTTCTATTTTTAGCCATGGCGGCCATCTTGGTTGGTTGGTGGGGTCATCTGACACATTTTTTAAACTAGATACCCTAATGATGATTGTGGCCAAGTTTGGTAAAATTTGGCCCAGTGGTTTCAGAGGAGAAGATTTTTGTAAAAAGCTAACGAAGACGGACGACGGACGCCAAGTGATGAGAAAAGCTCACTTGGCCCTTCGGGCCAGGTGAGCTAAAAAAAAGAAGATACACAAATCTCTTTAATAAAAACAAACTTTCTTTTAAACATATGAATTAAAATATATCCATATTCAATAATTGTGGGCATTAGGATCACAACATTACAGATCATGGAAAGAAGTCAAAAACTGAATATTAAGGATGTACAAGTTTAAGCTTTCTAAAAAGCTGTGGACTGCTTCACTCCATCCTAATTTAAGATAATATGTGTGCATATGGTTGTTGATTTAGTATTGGAAATGTGGTATTTTTAGATATTAATTGATATGAAATGAATGTCTTAGACTTGGAATATCAATTTTTGTATATATATTAAGATGAACTTTTCTGAAATTTTAAACTGGCTGTTCAGTGTATAGTCAATGTGTTTTTGTGGAGTGTGGTTTTCTAGTTCTTTCAGCTGGTCATTGACTTGCGATTTTGATTGCTAGTTCTGTATATAATTTATTTAGATATATATGAATGTTTAGGTATGTTGATTAAGAGTAACATGATTTCGAGTGATGAAGACAATAACAATCAAAACCAAGGAGTAAACAAAGACTTGTACATGTACAACCAAAAGATATTTACAACAGTTAAAATAAATAAGAAACAGAAATAAATATTTAGTTTCAGTGAAAATGATGTTGTTCTACTTTAAGAGTGTGCGTTTTACACCCATGCTTTTAAAATTTTGTTCACTTTAATTGTTGAAAATTAAAACATTTACAAATAGACACGACTCTGGAGGTGTGCCTAGATTGGCAGAAGTTATAAAATACAGATAATGCATTTTTGTAAACATTGTATAGGAACATTGTTTAGCAAAACAAATCGTGCATATTGCAGATTAACAAAGCAAATAAACATGTATTAATAATTGATATTTCAATATTGAATTTCAGTGCGCAATATATGCATAATAAATGGGGAATGTGTCCATGGGACACAGATGATGCCCCCGCTTGCATATCATATAAAGTTATAAAGGGACATAACTGAAGAACGGTAAAACTGACTCTACCCAAATTTGTACTTGATCTGAGTTTTGTGGTAATAAGTATTGTGTATAAGTTTCATAAAATTTGATAGAGGCAAACTTATGTTAGAGAACAGAAACGAAAAATTCAGCAATTTTTCCATTTGTAAAGGGACATAACTCTAGAACAGTAAAAGTGACACCACCAAATTTCAAACTTGATCTGTATTTTGTGATAATAAGCATTGTGTATAAGTTTCATAACATTTGGTTGAGGCTAATTTAAGTTAGATAACGGAAACGAAAAATTCAGCAATTTTTCCATTTGTAAAGGGGCATAACTCTAGAACAGTTAAAGTGACACCACCAATATTCAAACTTGATCTGTATTTTGTGGTAATAAGCATTGTGTATAAGTTTCATACCATTTAGTTGAGGCAAACTAAAGTTAGAGAATGGAAACCAACTTTGGGACGTACATACGTACAGACGGCAAGGGTAAAACTTAATGCCCCCTCCGCTATAGCGGAGGCAAAAAAATAAACGAACATGATTTAATGACAGTTGATCGGAACTGCAATACACATAGTTAATTTTCCAGCATTTGATGTCTTATCCTGAGACGAGAAAAGTCTGTAATTCTTTATCTCATTTAAGCAAATAGCTGTTGCTGTATCTCAGCCGCATCATAAAGCAACCAATCAGAATCTATATGTGATAAGTAATTATTTCAAGATGGCATGTATATTGACTGAAACTAATAGCTCAGCACCGTGATGCGAAGCAAACATGTGTTGCAGTCATTAAAAGTGTCCTGTATCACTTTTGGTATTTTGGAGACTATCAAAATTTTGACAAATGGTATTACCTTTCAGACAAGCAAAATTTCATTGACACTTGTCCAAAGGGACCAAGTTCAGTAGAACCTTAATGTTAATCTCTGCTTTCATATGTGGAATGTCTCATGGAGGCCAACATTTTTATCTTTTAAATGTTTCAGATACCCATGACATTAGTGGTCTGTCAGAAATATACTTAATATGTTTCTTGATTTGTATTTTACTTTAACAGATTTTCATGATTTTCTGACTTGATTTTTATCTCTATTTCCTACTGCACAATATAGATATTTCACCTTTATCAAGTCCTCATCTGTCATCTGCAATACTGTGGTAAAGTCTAGATGTTGCTGCTGAAACAAGCTTACAAAACGACTTAAGTCTAAACCACACAAAAATAATTCCAATTCTCCATACTTTATCACAGACCTACAATATACACATTATGTGAAAATTATACTGAGAGTTTTATTGAATTAATTTCTTTAAAGCTATTCATTAGATCTATTTTCCTAATGCTTGTAGTTTAAAGGTTTGGGTGGCTTGCTTGCTTTTTTTGTATAAATGTTTGTTCAAGCATTGTAATTTAGATTGATATCTGCAATCAATAGATAGGCGGGGCTTCAGCTTGTATACATTATACTCTGCATTACACTTGACATCCAATAACATTTAAGTATAATGTATACAAGCTGAAGCCCCGTCTATCTATTGATTGCAGATGTCAATCTTAATTACAATGCTTGAGCAAACATTTATACAAAGAAGCAATCAAGCCACCCAAACCTTTAAACTACAAGCATTAGGAAAATAGCTCTAATAGTGTCAAAACAAAACCATTCCTTCAAGTACACAATACTAAATCTTTTTTCCTTAATTTTTTTTTTTAAATTAGTTTCTCCTATTTAACAATAGAAGTTTTGAATCCAATTATATTAAAATACTAGATATGGACGATACCCCCCCTCTGCTCTGCCATATGCATGAGTATAGTTACTTATAATTTAGATTTGACAGTAATGTTGAAGTACAACTTGAAATTGTTGCACTGTCTGTAAATTATAAATTTAACACTATGAATGATGATCTATCTTTTATTTTTGTTCTTAATGTCTACACTTGCAGGACTGAATGTCCAGCCAAAAGGTTTCAACTATTCAGAAAACTGTCAGCTACAAGTTTTTCTTAATTATACGACACTGAATTACTGACGAACAATAGAAAGTATTTTATGGTCTGAGAAATAAGTATGAAATACATCAACTTTGTAATGATATCTGTTTTCAGGAACAAACACTAGGTCTAAGGTTGAACCAGTATAGTATTTATTTATTGCATTAGGGACATTAAACTGTAGTAGTACAATCCATATTTTCAATTATATAGCAATTGAAAAGGAAAAGTCCAACTACTGTTTTTTGTGAATATCTACCATTTCCCCTTTATGAATTTTAATACATAAAAAATGACCAAGTCCAAATACCTGTCATTTTGAGAATATTTGAAAAAAAATCCAAATTCTGTGGACATGCACACCACTAGTATGTGTACAAACATCCTATAAAATATTGAAGCTGTAGCTCAAAAACTGAAGTAGGAGATAGCCAGACAAACCATGATCTCTGTAGGCAGCTAGTACCAAAAAATGACTTAGTCCAAATACCTGGCATCTTGAGAATATTTGAAAAAAATCAAAATCCTGTGGACATGCACACCTCTATTATGTGTAGAAAATTCCTATAACATATTAAAACTTTAGCTCAAAAACTGTAGGAGTAGATAGCTGGACAAACCATAATCTCTTTATGCAGCTAATACCAAAAAATGACTAAGTCTAAATACCTGGCATTTTGAGAATATTTGAAAACAAGAGTGCACACACTGAAATGTCTCGCCTACTATACTGACCATTGATTTTATGTTGATAGTCGTAATATAAAGTTTTACTACAAGTATCACATTAACATTTATGATCCAAGAAAATGAGGTCAAGGTCAGATAAACCAAGCTGGAAATACATGTACACCTTTAATACAATCATTCCATACACCAAATATAGATGACATATTGCTTATAGTATAAAAGAAACAGACCAAACCATGGAAATTTTATTTTGACCAATGAACCATGAAAATGAGGTGAAGGTCAGATGATACCTGCCAGACAGACATATACACCTTACAATCATTCCATACACCAAATATAGTTGACCTATTGCTTAACGTTAACGTTAAAACAGACCAAAACACAAAAACTTAACATTGAGCAATGAACCATGAAAATGAGGTCAAGGTCAAATAAAACCTGGCAGACTGACATGTACATCGTATAATATTTCCATACACCAAATATAGTTGACCTATTGCATACAGTATCAGAAAAACAGACCAAAACACAAAAACTTAACATTGAGCAATGAACCATGAAAATGAGGTCAAGGTCAGATGACACCTGCCAGTTGGACATGTACACCTCACAATCATTACATACACCAAATATAGTAGACCTATTGCTTATAGTATCTGAGATATGGACTTGACCACGAAAACTTAACCTTGTTCCCTGATCCATGAAATGAGGTCGAGGTCAAGTGAAAACTGTCTGACAGGCATGAGGACCTTGCAAGGTACGCACATACCAAATATAGTTATCCTATTACTCATAATAAGAGAGAAATTAAAATTACAAAAAATCTTAACTTTTTTTCAAGTAGTCATTGAACCATGAAAATGAGATCAAGAACAATGGACATATGACACAGGGTTTCCGCTAGTGACCTTTTTTGAAAAAATAAAAATTGTGGCAATTTAAATTCATTATTGGCGAAAGAAGGCAAAAGAAATATAACGGTTCGAATTTGTCTAGTTTACTTTTTTCAGGTTTCTCTTAATTCTTCCCTGATCAGACAATACTGGGAATTCACCTTGACCTTGTTACGATTTTGAAAGTAAATCAATAATCAGCTGATTGTATTTTATAGCTATCGGCAATAAAGGATTATAATTAATAAAGGTGTTGATTGTATTTTTTAATGAAATGGTGTGTTAAATGGCATCCCGTGTCACTAAAAGGATTTTTTAAAAGCTTTGATAGAAATTATTGTTTTGAAGTGGGAACTTCACAAACGTTTTTGCGACGCACGTGTTTGAAGCATAGTTTTACTTCCCTTCTTTTTCTTTTAACGATGGTTCGGAAAAGAAAACTGTTGTAATGATGAAAAATGTTTTAAAATAGAGTAAGAAAAATCTCTGACTTTAAACTTTATCCTTTAACTTTGATAGAAATCATTGCTTTACAATCGCTTTAGCGATCGCATGTGTTTGACGCATAGTTTTACATCTCAACTCTTTTCTTTTAACGATTGTCTGAAAAGAAAACTGTTGTTCTGAAGAAAAATATTAAAAAGTCCGAAAAATCTCGGACTTTGGTGTTTATCCTTCAACTAGACGGGAAGTATCCGATAAACTTATTAACGATGAATCCCATGCATGTTCCCCGGCAGAAGTCAAAAATGATGATTGCATGAACTATATTGCAATTTACTGTTTATTTTAAAACGTAAATGTTTGTTATTATTGAGAGTGAATTTATTACAATGTAGATTAAAAAAAACATATTTAGAATTATGATAGACAACAATGTGACAAACTGATTTTTTTTGTGTTAAAAAATTTTAAACGTAAAATATGTTTATGTAAGTTGGTGAAAAAAATTGAAAGTGGCGAAAAATATTTTAATTTGGCGAAAGAGGTTGCGAAAAAAAAAAATTGACCCAGGGGAACCCTGTATGACAGATGGAAACTTCATATCATAAGGCATCTAGATACAAAGTATGAAGCATCTAGGTCCAGTGTTCTCCCCAGGCCGTTTTAGCGTCGCGGCACCGAGACGCTATATTTTTTTCCCGTGATGCTATAATAATTTCCGCGACGCTATAATTATTTTGAGGATGCTATTTTTCTAGTCTCTATATTGTCTCTATATCGCAAAACCATGTCCTAAATTTTGAACTTTCATCTAGTTACCGCTTGTGATCATAAAAATTATATCACCTTTAATTGTAATCCCTTCAAGTCCGACAATAGAGGCAATTAAGAGTGATTAAATAGGTGTTAATTGCCCTTTGGGTGATAACTGAATGGATACGAATACCCCAAGCTGACACTTGTGACATGACTAATACCACGTGGTCCAATCGCAAATTTCAACATGGAGAAAATTTAATCAGAAAATCGAAAAAAATTCGAAATCTACGTTTGCATAATCCAAAATCAAAGATACAAACGATTTATCTCTTTAGAAAAGAGGTTAGGTCGTATATTTTTACAACTTTTGAAAAATTACTTTCTTTCATTTCCGGTATCTAGTTAATCGAGAGCGTACATGCCATATATTAAACATTTTGATTTTGAGTTAAAAAAGTTTGATACTACTTTAGAAAGAGATCATAATTGGCTTTAGTTATTGTTTCATGTCATCCATTTAATGCATTAAAAGCGTCATACGCATTCCCAATCTCTTGTCAAACATTGTTTATTTTCGTAAATTTTTCTTCAGCCGCCATTGAAATATATGTGTAAACTACGGATCGGAACCGGACCAGATATGACAAAATTCAGTATTTTTCCGATAATAACTACAGATGCACACATGGCACAGTAGACAGAAAAAATGATTACAAAAGAATAAACTACGCTTTCCAAACGCATTAACAGACTATTTATTAGATATCTTTGCTAAATGTAATCTTTTTGAAAATGCATTGTTTTAATATACTGACTAAAGTAGCTTAACTTTGTTAAAAATATATATCATTTTGATATAAAGAAACAACTGGGACTAATTCACTGAGTACCATGAAACAATGAATTTCATAGACATGATAAAGAAAAAAGGTTTTAATTGAAGTTTTATTGCTATATGATACTTTCTCTTCCCTTTTTATATAAAAACCAGTTCTTTTTTTTGCTAGGTATTTAGTATTGTATATACAGGTTGCACTATAATAAACCATTCATTCATTCATTCATTCTTCATTCATTTAGTTGAGTAGGTAGGGTAACTGGAACCACATATATATTTTTATTTGGCCCAAGAGGAAAAAAATAATTTTGTAACTATAAATGAATATAGAAAACATAAACTGAAACAACTGTTATCATGGCTATAGTTTAATTGTATTCTCAGTTATGAATTGAACAATATAAACATATATAACATAAAGGAAATAGAGCATCGCCGCGACGCGTCAAATGACATTGAAAAATATACAGTTTATTTTTTTACGCCAAATGTGATGCTATCCAAAATTTCTGGGGAGAACACTGAGGTCTTCTACCTTATGAAAAATTAAGCTTTTAAGAAGTTATCTAATGCTGCCACCGGATCACTATCCCTATGTCGAGCTTTCTGCGACAAAAGTCGCAGGCTCGACAAAAATCAAAATCAAAGGAATTGCACACCTCTATTATGTGTAGAAACATCCTACAAAATATTAAAGCTGTAGCTCAAAAACTGTAGGAGATGTCTAGACATATCCGTATAGATATCAGGACGGACGAACGAAAAGATGTACAGACAGACAGACAGGGGTAAATTAATATGCTCCTCAACATTTTGTCGTTGGGTCATAAATTTTGTTGCATTGGCATAAAAATCCACAGAATGCTGTTAAAATCCTACTCACTGTGAGTCATTATCAGGTTCATCATCATACACCTCACCATTTGTGATTTTCTGGGACTCTATATTTGATGCTTCTAAATGGTTTGATTTTCTTTTCACTTCTCCACCCAGCAATGCTGCAAGCTATTTAAATGTAAAAATAATTAAAGTGTAAGTTAAGAATTATGTTTAGGGGATGAAGGTTGTAAATCCATTGTATTCCCCTAATTTGTTGATGTCAATTACTATACAATACAATACAGTACAAGTAGTTTATTTAGGTCTCACCATTAATATAACAAAACATAACATAATACATGAAAACATAAAATAATATAAAATATAAACGCCATTCTAAAAAGAATTGTGAGAGACGGAATTAAAAAATTTCTAATTTCTTTAAAAATATATAGTGAAGACAAAAAGTAATATAAAAAACAATGTCTTCTATCTAAAATAAATTTGCAGATTTTGGCACTTATTATAATAATACTATCACAATCACTGGCTAGAACAATAGATATTTCTCAAATTAATTTTTTTTTAAAAGTTTGAATGTTCTGACAAAATTAATTAATAAAAGTTCAGTTCGCAGGTCATGGTTCAATGGACACTCTAACAATACATGTTCCTCAGTTTCAACAATGTTTCTACATGTTTCACAAGATTGTTGTTGTACAGGTAGTCTCTTATATTGTCCATTCTCTATGTGGATCAGTGCCACAACGAAACTGCTTGTAGGCTCTTCTATGCGAAGGAACTATAATTTAATGCATGTATTCCTCAGTGAATATTGACGTTTTAAAAGTTCTATAAGTCCTCAACTTATTCCCATCATTTCCATTTGCTTAAAAGTTTTATTTAGATTTTCTCACCATTCATTGTCAAATTTAGATAAAAGACTGTCATAGAGTACATTTTTAACACAGGCTTTATCCACATTTTCGGCATTATACAGTACCATCCTATCTACTGATAATAAATTGCTTCTTCGAGCACAGCTGGATACGACCGCAGAGGTCCAACCCTGAACAGTTGGGGCAAAAATGGACACAATATTCACGCTTTATACAGGTCTGAATTTGGATTGTAATTAAATATTTGACACATAATAGGTTTCTGACACAGAATAACTGTAGTCAAAGAACTTAGAATTGGTTATATGATTTGCATTTATATTCAATTTTTTGCTTTTGTGCAAATACGCTATGCTGTTGCGAATTGACCCCCCCCCCAAAAAAAAAAACAAAAAAAAATTTACCCCCCTTTTTTTTTGCTTTTGTGCAATACACTATGCTGTTGCGAATTGACCCCCCCCCCCCCAAAAAAAAATTACCCCCCCCCCTTTTTTTTGCAAAAAATAAAAAAAATATTTAAAGAAATTTTCTTTTTAATTTCTGAAATCTGAAATGAGAAAAAAATTGTCCCCTCCCCCCCCCCCCCCCCTTTTTTCCAAAAAAAAAAAATTCTTTCCCTCAAGATATGGTCATAATCTCAATTCAAATTTCCAATGGAGGTCCCATTTAAATACATCATAAAAGTCTTATAATAGAAAATGACATACATAATCATGGCTAAAATTAATATTCCTTAATCAGCATTTTTAAATAGTAACTTCTAAAAATAAATTGACAGCTAATCACCTCAAGACAATACAACATTTCTTTATATACAATTTAAATGCAGTGTAAGGGAGTTAATCCAAACATAACATTGTACTTTTTTTTAATTGTCCATTAACCAGGAAACCTTTGTTTTTCCCCCTTTTTTTGCCCCTAATTCCTAAATGGTTTGAGCCATAACCCCCCAAAGCCAATCCTAACCATCCCTTTGTGGTATGGAAACTTTTGGTATAATTTCAGAGAGATCCATACACCGTTCCACAAGTTATTGTCTGGAAACTAGAAAAATGCTTATTTGGGCCCCTTTTTTGGCCCCTAATTCCTAAACTGTTAGGACTATAACCCCCAAAATCAATCCCAACCTTCCTTTTGTGGTTATAAACCTTGTGTTTAAATTTCATAGATTTCTATTCACATTTACTTAAGTTATTGTCCGGAAAACCAAATGTCTTCGGCATCGACGACGTGATACCAATATACGACCGCAAAATTTTTTGCGGTCGTATAAAAATTGCTGTCGTATTCTATAGATGCAGTTTTTACATATACTTGCGTTCAAGCTACAATGTTCTGACCACTTGAAAATTTTGAGTTAAGTCTATTGTGGTCCATGTTTTTGAGTCTATACTACTGGTTATTTACAGTTCCATTGTTTCACATTAGCTGGTATCCATCATGAGTCACGGACTATCCCCGTGTTTGAGGTGTATCAACCAACACCCCTTATAAAAGTGAACTGCTTTATTCTGTACCGCAATAAGTTTTTACTAAGTGAAGGAAAATCTTCTGTATTGTACATATCAGTTTTTGCATTTACTTTGGGACTGAGGAAGATAGACATTCATTTTTTTTCCCACTGACCATGGAAAGGAGTAAGATGGACTAAACACAAGATGAGCTAGCTTAATCCTACAATGTTTATGCGTTTGTTCAATGTCAGAAGCTTTTTTAGTTTTCATGACTGTTTCTTCTTGATATTGTCCTTTTATAGAGTTCAATTATATTTGTAGAACAGTATAAATTTGTAAAAACTTCTTACCTCATCATATTGTTGTGAGACAGCTAGATCCAGAGGGGTTTGTCCATCACATTGTTTCATACTAATATCAGCACCATGGTCCAATAAAACCTTTACAACTTTCACATGGTTTTTACTAACAGACCAACTCAGTGCCTAAAGTGGAGGAAACCTTGTTCTAAATCAACAATCATGTATCTTTTCAAAATTTATCTTTTAATAATGAAATGACATGATATATAAAATTTTCAGGATAGAAAGGGAGCTTTCTTCCTCCAAATCAAATATTCCTTTTAAGTTTTAAAAGAAACAGGATGGAACTTTAGGTGTCGTACAGATCAAAAAGTGCTTACAATTAACAACTCATCACTGTCAAGCTGCTGACCAAATATGTAGTCAGTCTGTTCAGTAGTACTGGCTTAATGTGTGGTGAAAATGTTCATTTCATTTACTTATTGAAAAATTCAGACCATCAGTAAACAGTAAGAAGTTGTCTGACTGATCAAAAAATTATATGTTGTGACACGTGACAAGATCAGTTGAATCCAATATAGCCCCACTCTTAGCATAGGGGTATAACTAGATCTAAAAGATGATAAAAATAAATTGGCTACACAGTTTCAATAACATCCTTTTTTTTATAAAATCACAAAGCAACTACCGGTATTACTCCCTAAATGGAATTTTTTTATATTGACATTTGTGATGTCAATATCCTTCCAAAACATCATACAAATATTTAGATCCATCAAAAGATTAATAAATACTTGGCTCAACAAGATCAATGTCTAAATAGCTCAATGGTCAAGGACATTTAGTTTTCCAGGCAGTCAATGAATAATGTAAGTTTAATGCTTATTTATATTGTCTTAATCACATTATAGGGACAAATGACCAGGGAATTTTTTAATATAGCATACTTATATTTGAACTAATATTTTATACAAATCTTCTACTTACAGACCAGCCTCGACTATCTTGTTTATTAATATTTGCACCACAGCCCAGTAATTTAGTTACTATGAGTTCTCTTCCTTCCCTGGCAGCATAAATCAATGGTGACATGTGGTATCTGAAATTAACAATTTTTTTTGTTGTAATTTAATTTTACAATAGATATGCCTCTATGTGGAAAGAACAAGTGGAAATGGGATTCATAGTATAACCAAACAACACATAACAGTATTTCTTTAAGATTTTAAACATAAACAACATTTGGCCAAGTACCAGGTATATATGAAAATAAAATGCCTCGCACGGTGCAGCTTGATGTGACCGCACATGTCGAACCCTAAACCAGCATGGACACAACATTCAAGCTTGATACAATTTTGAATTTGGATGTTGATTAAATATTGACACAGCATAGGGTTCTGACACAGAATGAACATGGTCTAAGAACATAAAAATTGAAATTAGACACTTACCTATTATGGTCCAATATCCAAAATCTAAAAACATGGTTAGTTTCAGCATATCAAAGAAACCCAGGATTTCAATTTTTGATGAAATCAAACAAAGTTTAATTTTGGACCCTTTGGACCTCAATGTATACCAATTTAAAAACGGCTCCCAAAATCTAAAATTAAAATACACAGTTAGATTCACAATATTAAAGAACCCAAAGAATTCAAGACTTCGAATTAAACCCATTGAAATTGGTCAGGAAATAAGCAATTTAAAATTCAGTGAATTTATACATATTATCAGAAAAGTATTGTTTTGGCCTCTAATTCCTAAAAGGTTAGGGCCATAACCCCCAAAATCAATCCCAACCTTCCTTTTGGTATGGAACCTTGTGGTACAATTTCAAAGAAATCCATTGACTTATACTCGAGTTATTGTCAGGAAACCAGAAAATACTTGTTTTTTGGTTCCTAAATCCTAAATGGTTTGGGCCATAACCCAAAATTAATCCCAACCTTCCTTTCCTGGTATGGAACATTATGGTACAATTTCATAGAGATCCATACACTTATACACGTTTTTGTTCTGAAACAAGAAAAATGTTTGGTTAGGCCCCTTTTTGGCCCCCAATTCCTAACTAGTTATGACAATAACCCCAAAAATCAATCCCAACCTTCTTTTTGTGGTATGGGACCTTGTGGTACAATTTCATAGAGATGCATACACTAATACTCAAGTTATTGTCTTGAAACCAAATGTCTTTGCATGACTACACCGCAATACCATTATACAGCCGCAAATTTTTGCGGTCGTATTAAAATCTGACATTTTTGATTTATTCCTCAGATACCTTCATTATAGGACCTAAGTAACTATTTTAGAGATTTTTTCATGAAAATTACTTAGACTACTTCCTGAGTCGATTCTTGAATTTTCAAAATTAACAATAATAAGAAGATATATTAACTATATGGTTTTGGCTTTTCTTATACCACATCTCCTTATTTTTATATTACACAGAACAGTATACTTACCTATCATGACGGTTTATGTCTGCCCCAGCACCTAGAAGTATTGTTACACAGGACAGTATATTTACCTATCACGACTGTTTACATCTGCCCCAGCACCTATAAGTATTGTTACACAGGACAGTATGTTTACCTATCATGACTGTATACATCTGCCCCAGCACCTATAAGTATTGTTACACAGGACAGTATATTTACCATTCATGACTGTTTACATCTGCCCCAGCACCTATAAGTATTGTTACACAGGACAGTATGTTTACCTATCATGACTGTTTACATCTGCCCCAGCACCTAGAAGTATTGTTACACAGGACAGTATGTTTACCTATCATGACTGTTTACATCTGCCCCAGCACCTAGAAGTATTGTTACACATGACAGTATGTTTCACCTATCATGACTGTTTACATCTGCCCCAGCACCTAGAAGTATTGTTACACAGGACAGTATATTTACCTATCATGACTGTTTACATCTGCCCCAGCACCTATAAGTATTGTTACACAGGACAGTATGTTTACCTATCATGACTGTATACGTCTGCCCCTGAACCTATAAGTATTGTTACACAGGACAGTATATTTACCTATCATGACTGTTTACATCTGCCCCAGCACCTGTAAGTATTGTTACACAGGACAGTATGCTTACCTATCATGACTGTATACGTCTGCCCCAGCACCTTTAAGTATTGTTACGCAGGACAGTATATTTACCTATCATGACTGTTTACATCTGCTACAGCACCTAGAAGTATTGTTACACAGGACAGTATGTTTACCTATCATGACTGTTTACATCTGCCCCAGCACCTAGAAGTATTGTTACACAGGACAGTATGTTTACCTGTCATGACTGTTTACATCTGCCCCAGCACCTAGAAGTATTGTTACACAGGACAGTATGTTTACCTATCATGACTGTTTACATCTGCCCCAGCACCTAGAAGTATTGTTACACAGGACAGTATGTTTACCTGTCATGACTGTTTACATCTGCCCCAGCACCTAGAAGTATTGTTACACAGGACAGTATGTTTACCTATCATGACTGTTTACATCTGCCCCAGCACCTAGAAGTATTGTTACACAAGACAGTATACTTACCTATCATGACTGTTTACATCTGCCCCAGCACCTATAAGTATTGTTACACATGACAGTATGTTTTCTTGCTTGCTGATTGTCGATGAACATGCTGCCATCAGTACATTAAACATATCTAAAATAAAGGGAGAAAATCAAAATGTTATAAGATTGTCATTTGGTGACTTCATTGTGAAAGACATTAGACACTGCTTGATAAAACATTGTCATTACTCTGACTCTGATAATTTCCAGGGCTCAACTATCTTTTATGAAAATAAAGCGAAACAAAACATTTGAACTGATTTGTAAGCAGTGGTTGTCTTCATCCATTCAGTTTAGCATGTTCAGCTCCAAACAAAGAGACTATTGTCAGAATAATAAAGTTGAAAGTTTTGAGCATTTATCTAATATGTAATAACTGATGAGTAATATTTCTTTAGATTACAGAATGGGTATGAAAGCAGGTGCCATTAGAGTAAAATGGCAAAACCTAAACTATGGCATAATCATGATAATCAAAAACCATAACTTGCAAATGACACATGAAGTTCCTTATCCTAAAGTTAACACACTACATGGTTGGGGGTAACTCAAGTTATTAAACAGAGTCCTAAGCTTTGCCTTCTTTCAGCATGATCAAGGGGTATGCATGTACCTCAGAAAACATTACCATGAAATAATATGTAAATTTAGAACTTAATCTGTATTTAAAATCATTTACATTTTAAATTTCAAATTATTTAGCCAATGATTACTTAGTAAATGAAAAGAAAGCAAGAAGGAAAGAAAAGAAAGGTTAACACTGAATGCCCCTCATTGTCTTCTTGTAATGCATGACACATGAGGCTTTTGAAATTAAAATAAAAATCTGGTATGCCAATCATTCAATGCCAACTGCTGTCTTGATTTATGGAAAGTTCACAAACTTAATAAGTACAACATATCAATAAACAGATGTCAAAAAGAAAATTAAAAGTAAAAGTAAAAGTGAAAATGAAAGTAAATGTAAAACTGAAAGTAAAAGTAAAACTGAAAGTGAAAGTAAAAATGAAAGTGGAAACAAAATGTGTTTTCTTTTTACCTGGCTTTTACACTCAAAAACTTATGCTCAAATTCATATTGGATAATTCATTACACACAGAAACTAAAAAGCCTTGATTTTTGAGGAATGTTACACTGAAATATATATAACAACGGATTTCAAAATGACAGCAAACCAGGTTTTTATTACATTCATGAAGTGCAATTGTTTATAAAGCAATATTAATGAAGGGCAATAGCTACTGAACGGCAAAATAGAAAATTGTCAAAATCAGACTTGACCTCAATTTTTTCATCAGTAACAACTAATATAAAATTTGAAAATTATAGGAAGAACAGTTCTTAACTTCTCAATTTGCACTGCTCACTGAGGCTTATTTCCCCATGTCTGGAAAACTTCAATTAAAATTAACTTTTAAACTTTGTTCAAAAAGAGTACCATGAATTTATTTATTATAACCAAATTAGGTTCTATTAGAAACAATTGATAAAGAAAATTGCAATGATGTTTCAGTTAATATTGGAAAACAGTTAGTGATAATTACAATATTTTACCATGATGACATTTTACATTGGCGCCTTTATTCACCAAAAATTCTACGATCTGCTTGTTAGCTGAATTGGCTGCATACATCAATCCAGTCCAACCACATTTCAAAACAGTATTAACATCAAAACCTGAAAGAGGGAAGAAAACATTATGTTGTAGTGAAAACTAAGGTGTGCATGTCTTGTCATTCCTTGCACCAAGTATAGTTAACCAATTTCTTATAGTAACTAAGGAACAGACTTAACCAGGAACATTTAACTTTGACCAATGAACCATGAAAATGAGGTCAAGGTCAAATAATACCTGCCAGGCAGAGATGTACACCTTACAGTCATTCCAATCACCAAATATAGTTGACCTGTTGCTTATAGCATCAAAGAAACAAACCATACCATAATAACTTAACACTGACCAATGAACCATGAAAATGAGGTCAAGGTCAGATGACACATTACAGACAGACATGTACACATTACAATCATTCCTTGCACCAAATATAGTTAACCATTTACTTAAAGTTAAAGTATCTAAGAAACAGACTTATCCAGGAAAACTTAATATTGACCAATGAACCATGAAAATGAGGTCAAGGTCAAATGGTACCTGACATGTGCCCCTAACAATCATTTCAAACATCACATATAGTTGATCTACTCTTCTAGAATCTGAGATTTAGACCTAATCGAGTAACTTTAACCTTGATCACTGATCCATAAAATGAATCGAGGTCAGGTGAACTCTCTCTGACCGACATATACATGTAGATGTTGCAAGGAACCCCTATACTAAATATAGTTACCCTGTTACTCATAATAAGTGAGGAATTCAGATGACAAAAAGACTAAATTTTTTTCTATCAGTTACTGAAATAAGGCAATTAGGCTAAAGACAATGGACATATGACAAATGGAAATTGTGTTACATAAGGTATCTGCATATCAGGTATGAATCCAGGTCTACCTTCTGAACAATCTGATTAAAATACAGATCATGTGTCCAAGCTTTGCTTACAAGGATCTGAAAACACTCCATTCCACTTTCTGTTTTAAAGACCTTTCAGGGTCCTCTGGTTTTGTCAGATAAATACACACCTTCAAAAATCTGAAGGCTGAAATTTCATTGGCTGATGTTATAAATGCCAGAACAGAAAGGAAAACGTAGTGTTGTCAGATCCTTGCAAGCAAAGCTTGGACACAGAATCTGTATTTTAATCAGATTGCCTTCTGAACTATAAAGCTTTATATAAATAGTTTATGATGCTGCCACCGCCAGATAGTAATCCCTATGTCTCTCTTTTTCGCGACTTTCATTGCCAATGAGACAAAAAATTAAAAAGAAATGTTTTACCATTAGCAACAGATTCTGTGATGATATCCATATTTCCTCTAGTTATAGCCATTCTGAAATCATCAACACCAAGTTTTCTGTTTACTGGCCTCTTCTGGTTAGCCTTATCTGGGACATTTTTCTGAGCAGATTTCCTTTGAGGTGCTCCAAATCCTCCTTTTCCAACATTATCTGGCTGTTGAAAATTATTGTTTGTCTGAAATAAGAGCATATTTATCAAATACTCAAAATAAAGTGTCAGAAAATTTAATGTGTCACCACTACATCATAACTGAGTACTCTTTTAATATTGCAGAAGCTTTACAATTAAAATAAATTGCTTTGCCGAGCACAGCTGGATACGACCGCAGAGGTCCAACCCTGAACAGTTGGGGCAAAAATGGACACAATATTTGCGCTTGATACAGTTCTGAATTTGGATTGTAATTAAATATTTGACACATAATAGGTTTCTGACACAGAATAACTGTAGTCAAAAAACTAAGAATTGGTTATATGATATGAATTTATATTCAATTTTTTGCTTTTGTGCAATACACTATGCTGTTGCGAATTGACCCCCCCCCCCCCCCCCCCCAAAAAAAATTATATTTGAAGACATTTTCTTTTTAATTTCTGAAATCTGAAATGAGAAAAAAATTGTCCCCCCCTCACAATTTCTTTTTTACCCCCCTCCCCTTTTCCCAAAAAAAATTCTTTCCCTCAAGATATGGTCATAATCTCAATTCAAATTTCCAATGGAGTTTGCAACCATAATTACCCATTTAAATACATCATAAAAGTTTTATAATAGAAAATGACATACATAATCATGGCTATAATTAATATACCGGTATTAAATATTCCTTAATCAGCATTTTTAAATAGTAACTTCTAAAAATAAATTGACAGCTTATCACCTCAAGACAATACAACATTTCTTTATACATAATTCAAAAGCAGTGTAAGGGAGGTAATCTAAACTTAACATTGTACTTTTTTTAATTGTCCATTAACCAGGAAACCCTTGTTTTTCCCCCTTTTTTTGCCCCTAATTCCTAAACAGTTAGAGCCATAACTCCCCAAAGCCAATCCTAACCATCCCTTTGTGGTATGGAAACTTGTGGTATAATTTCAGAGAGATCCATACACCATTCCACAAGTTATTGTCTGGAAACTAGAAAAATGCTTATTTGGGCCCCTTTTTGTCCCCTAATTCCTAAACTGTTAGGACTATAACCCCTAACCTTCCTTTTGTGGTTATAAACCTTGTGTTTAAATTTCATAGATTTCTATTTACATTTTCTAATGTTATTGTTCGGAAACCAAATGTCTTCGGACGACGAAGTGATACCAATATACGACCGCAAAATTTTTTGTGGTCGTATAAAAAAATAATAGACTCCTAAGAGCCTGATTGGCTTTCCTGTTAAAATTTTGCTGTTTATAGTTTCGATCATAGTTTTCAAGATAAAAAAGGCAAAAATGGAAATAAGTAGAAAATTGTCATTAATGGTCAATTACTTCTACATGTATAAGAAGTCATCCATTGATTTCCATCAATTTTGGAGATTTTGTATTGATTATCGTTTTTGCTTAAAGTTTCAGACTACTGTATCTATTATTGTTTTCAAGAAAAAAGATAAAGGGCATTTGATTAATATTCTGGGTTAAATGATGATTTCAGCTACATGTATGTCTGACTTTTTTGTAGATCTTATTTTGCTAAACATTGTTTGCTAGTTACAATGTCTTTTTAATTATTATAGTTTCTGAAATGTGCAAGAAATGAGTATAAAAAACATCGTTCCGGAGCAACAATTCCTAAAAGGAGTCCAGTAATGATTTCGGTCTTTTGACTATAAATTTGAAGATCTTATTTTGCTGAACATTTGAACTATTTTTAAAAGATTCTCTCTATCTACAATAGTTTCTGCAAAAATTTCAAAAAAGGTTAAAGAATCATTCAAGGGCTATAACTCTTATAAGAGGTCAATTTAAGATTTTAACCATACTGACTTACTTGTAAATCTTATTTTTTGTCATTTTCACTATAAAAGGTTCTCTTTATCTGTAATACTTTTCAATATATTACATGCAACCTAAAACTGTGAAATTTGCTAATAATGGACATTTCAGGGACAATATACATAGGAAAACAGCTTGTCTAATTTTTCTGAAAATTCCATAGGACATAGCCCTTGACCGTTGATCATTTTAACCCTTGTCAGTTTTGATCTTATATATTTAATGCTAAGTTTTAGAGATATAAGTCAAAAACTGCAGTGTTACCCCCTATGTTATAATTGGTATTATTGATTTTTATAATGTATATGACGAACGATGCGAAGTGATGGCAATAGCTCTAATCTTCTTTTTCCACCAGGTGATTAATTTATTCAAGAAATAATCTTTTATTTTTTAATAATAATTTTTTGTATGTTACGATCAGGTTCAAGTACTGTAAATACATATACTTTTGGGTTTAAGTCCAAATAACCTACCATTCATCTTAGTCTAGCTACCTTACAGTACCTACATGTACCTATGCATTACTACATACATGACATATACAGATCATTTTTTGAAATCAACAAATTGAAAAAATATTGAATATTAATTATTTCATCATGTTCATCATGTTTATTTTTTCATGACATTTTATGCAGTTGTATTGAGCATTATCATTATACTTGACTTTTATAATGTATACCCTGATGTACATGTTTGCATTTTTGTTTATGCTTTTCTATGATGAGGGCCTCAAGCCAAGGAAGATAAGTTATATAGCTAACTGTGTGACCCTCTTAAAATTAAGTAGTGTTGTTGTTGGGGGATTTTCCAGTTTTTTGACAATAACTCAAAAATGCTTTCAGCAGTTCTCATGAAACTTTGGTGAATTGTTTATATCTATAGACGTAAGCTCCCTTTCTATTTTTACAAATTTCTGATATGACATTGAGAATTTATTGAACTTTATTCTTTGAAAAACGCGACAGGCATATCATGCACTCACGGCGCAGCTGTTTACTCTACTTAACCAGGGGCAAAAATAACAGGTACATATGAAAGTTCAATAAATGTGGATAGTGTCCACATGTGGACACAGATGATGCCCCCACTTGCATATCATATAGTTATAAAGGGACATAACTGAAGAACGGTAAAAGTGGCGCTACTCAAATTTGAACTTGATCTGAGTTTTGTGGTAATAGGCATTGTGTGTAAGTCTCATAACATTTGGTTGAGGCTAACTTAAGTAGAGAACAGAGACTAAAAATTCAGCAATTTTCTATTTGTAAACACGTATAAATCTAGAACGGTTTTGTGTAGAAGTTTTATAACATTTGGTTGAGACAAACTAAAGTTAGAGAACGGAAACGAAAAATTCAGCAATTTTTATGTTTATTAATGGACATAACTCAAGAATGGTAAAAGTGTCGCCACCAAATTTTGTACTTAATCTGTATTATGTAGTAATAAGCATTGTGTATAAGTTTCATAACATTTGGTTGAGGCAAACTAAAGTTAGAAAACAGAAACAAAAAATTTGTACTTGATCTTAGTTTTGTGGTAATGAATATTGTGTATAGATTTCATAATGTTTGGTTGGGGCAAACTTAAGTTACAGAATGGAAACTAGAAATATTGCAATCTTTCGATTTATAAAGGGGCATAACTCAATAATGGTTAAAGTGACACTACCCAAATTTGACTTGATCTGTGTTTTATCAGTGGAAGTCAAAATTGAACATTGCATTGTATAAAGCATTGATTGTAGTTGATTCAACTATAATCGGGGACAAAGGAAGATAACTCCAATTTTAATAATTACTTGATATTTAGAAGAAAATAAAAATTTTGCAATTTTTCCATTTATAAACGGGCATAACTCTAGAATGGTTAAAGTGACACCACCAAAATTCAAACTTGATCTGTGTTTTGTGGTAATAAGCATTATGTATAAGTTTTATAACATTTGGTTGAGGCAAACTTAAGTTAGAGAACGGAAACCAACTTTGGGACGTACGTACGTACGTACAGACGGACAAGGGTAATACTTAATGCCCCCACCGCTACGGCCAGGGCATAAAAGTAGTTTGAGGGTTGTGCATAAATTGGAAATGTAGTCCTCTTCATTTTTTCCTATGTTTTGTGAAGCAGTGCTCTTCGCTTGACCTAGTACTCAGTACAATTAGATATAAAACCATCTGCTATTAACTGTGAAATAGTGGAGTACTCCTTTAGCTAGTTAGGTAGCATAGCATGGTGGCTGACTGTACCAGTTGTCCCTGGTTCAAATGCAGCTGGTATCGTTTTCCTTTTGGAAGGATTGATGCCTAATTAATGTACAGTGGCAAATATTTCACCCATTTATAGAACAAGAACTAATTAACATAGGTAGGTTCTGCAACATAGCTAGACCAGGATGAAGGGCAGGTAATTTGGACTGCCACTGGAAAATGAGGACATGTTGGATAGGAACAAAAAAAATATTTTGCCTTCAAACAGACCTCTTATAGACCCTGCAGAGAGTTGTTGCAGAAAACAAAATGTATACCTAACCAAATTTAACGCCCCCATTCCAACCGCTTGTGGCTGCGCATTTATACAATGGACCCCAAACTTAAGCGAGGGTTGAACTGCCAAGCGGTAGAAGTCCTGTAATTACCATATTTCTATATTCCCTTCAAACCTTGGGTGATTTTTGCAAAAATAAATTGGATGGAAAATCATCAGATGCAACAGAACAGTGCAAGGATACACGAAAAAAAGATAAATTACATTTACATCTTCATTACTCCACTGTGAAATTTTTGCGTGGTCATAATTGATATGATTGTTGTCACAGCCTAGGATAAATCCATCATCATCGTCATCGTCGAAATCGTCTTCGGCACCACCGGGGAAAAAGTCCATGGTGCTCGCCATCTTTGCATGACCTATAACCTGGCTAAGGGTACTGACGTCGATTCGCAATATTTTTAGTAAGGAATATTTTAGGTATCAAAAGAATTCCGCAAAGGACCAATATAGTTAAAACCCGCTGAATTTAGAAATATAAAAAATTTGGACTACTGAGCGAGACATGGAATAAACTTGTAATTTGGGGGTGCCTTAGGGAGCAACCATTTAACTTGACTTCAAACTTCTTCTTTCCTCTATATCTTCCTCCAATAGTTGGAGTACACCAACCTTACTGAATTAAGGTTGGTTAATCCTTATAAAAATTATTAAGTAAATACCTAACTATTTAAACAAAGGGAGGAGGGGGTTATGGTTTTTTGTCTGAGTCAGATTTTTTGTTTTAGTTTTCCGACGCTATCAATCAAATCATTTTTTTTTAAATTTAGCGCTATAAGGTATGGGAAAATCTCAGAATTTTTTTTTTGTAATCTGCTTGACCACAATATTTTTTTTTCATCCAATTGGGGATCAGAATATTCTTTTAGGAAAAAACCATACCCCCCTCTTTTTGAAGTTAAATGGTCGTTCCCTAACAACTCGTACTTTCACCAACTCGTACCCAATTTTCGAAGTATCGTTTGATAAGAAAGATATAATTCCGTTGAACCTAAATCGTGAGTGAGTGAGTGAGTGAGTTAGTTAGTAAGTATAAATTTTATTCAAATCGGCATTATGTACCGTGACAATAACAGAGAAACATGACTTTAACCGACTATCATAAAAAAAATCATGCAGCTTCATGCAAATACTAATCAGAAATAAAAATAAAAAGCCATGCGAAAATGATGAAAGCAAATATTTTTTTAAATTTCTGAACCTCCAGTATCTTTACATTTTGACCCCCGCACCAGGAATTTATTTAATTCCTAAATAAGTCAAAAAATGTCTTAATTCTGGCCTTATTGGAAAGGGAATTCCTTACTTGTGTTGCCTCAAATCTAAATGATCTTACCATAACTTGAGGTTCTTGGTCTATATATGAATTGGTTTTTTTTGTACTTGAACAACCAGGATCTTGAATAAATAAATGACATTCTTTATTAATTGTTTTAAAAGTTCTCCAAGGCAATTGAGCGCATTCTATGAGTTTTTAGTATAGGAAGGTTTGAAATCTGCAGGAGTGTTTCGTAAGAGTTCTAAAGCAAAGCGCTGGTTCTTGTATTTTTTTCTATTTCTCTTGAATTTGTTCCCCACGGAAATACCAAGTCGAGGGCAGTAACTCAATTAAGTTAGACAATAAATTGTTAGTTTACTCGATTTGTTTAGGTGTTGCCAAATTATTTTCAAAACTGATTTTATTGCCTTGCAGCCTTTTAACAGATATTTGAAATATGTAAATTGAAATTTAATTTAAAATCAAAAGAAGCTCCATGTTATTTTACCTCGTCCTCACATAAAATAGAAATCATACCAATCAAATCAAACACAATATTTTTATCATGTGTTTTTTTTACCAACACAGATAGCATGAAATTTCCCTGAGTTGGCCTGCACTTTATTTGCAGAAAAACACTCTATTAAATAACTGCTTTCTTCCTCAAGCGCAGAAATTGCATCTTGTGAGGAATTTCCAGACTTTAACAAAGTATTGCCATCAGCATAATCATATAAAAAACATTTTTTTTACAAAAAAGGACAAGTCATTTATAAAAATTTAAATGGGTCCAATAATGGATCCTTGGGGTAACCCTTTTAAATATATATCAAGCATACCACTTTAATTTTCGTTTACTTTCACACACTGTTTCTGTTTGTTAACTAAATATATAGCATATCAAGTCAGCATTTTGAAAGCCTGGACCATATAAGCCTTTAATTTCAGTAGAGCAGTAATTAAGTCATCGGGGAGACAGTCAAAAGCTATTGACAAGTCCATCGGGATAGCTGCAAGGCATTTATTTTGGTCTAGGGCTAATTTTAATCTTTAATCACTCTTAATACAGTTTGTGACATCGAAAGACTGATCTTAAAGCAGCAAAAAAATGGATTGAAGATATTATCAAAGTACTGTACTAATTGTACTTCTATGGCATTTTCAAAATTTTTAGAAATAGATGGTACCACACTTACCGGTCTATCATTTCCTTTTTCTAGTACACTATTCGGTTTAAGAAAAAGTGCAACTTGTGCTTTCTTAAGACTGTCCGGTTGATGATATTGATAAATTATTTACACTATCGGTAAGAGGTTTTACAATAGAGGGTTTAGCAAAATATAGTAACTATATTATTTAGCTGAAATACTAATTATTCCAGTGGCTTTTTTTAATTATACGCATTATACGTATGCGTTTCTCGACAAAAACTTGATCAACAGGAGAAAAGGTAAAACTGTTTTGGTGAAAATCGGGTAAATTATCTTTAATGGCCAAAATATTCGGGGGATCATCATCAACCTTTATTTGTTTCCAATATTCTTGGCAACATTAACAAAATGATTATTAAATATTTCACAAACCTCCTCTTGTTTTGTAATTAAAACATCATCATTTTCAGAAAGGACAGTTTCCTTTTGGTGTACATTACCTTTATTGGTAAGAAAAGATTCCTTAGATTTCGGGCCCCAGCGCACCTCTCTATAAAATATTGGTTAAAATATATCTGTTTTTCAGTGTTGTAACATAGTTATGCCTCCCAATTCTTACTACCACTGAATTTTTAAAATTTATTATACAGTCTCAGGTCAAAAGTGTTTCACCTTTCGAATATTCCCCTATTATTTCATACAAAAACATATTTTAGTAAAAATTCTACTGAAGCTATTTCTTTTCCAAATTGAATGATTTTTTTCCGTTAAATGCAGAAATGTCTGCAGTTTCTTGCAATAGTTATGAAATATATTTATAATTTATACTTTTTTTTTAAGAAAATCACTATTTAAAGACAAATACGAATGTCTGCACGAAACAAACATATGGCTATATAGGAAAAAATTACACCTATAATTTCAATATTTGTATACAAATGATGATTTCTCAGTAATCAGGCATGTCATAAAAATATTTCATAATAACCAGAAAAAACTGTAGACAATTATGAGTTTAACATTACAAAAGTTTCATCAAAATAGGACTTTGACAATGTTTTAAAACAATGAGTTTTTATATAATAATAATAGGGGAATTTCGGAATAGTGAAACACTTTTGACCTCATTTTCTTTCTTTAAATGGCACTTTTTGGCTCTGCATTCATATACCGGTATATGGTACCTAATTCGGAAAAATATTTTTATTTCCGTAAAAGGCCGTGCATGTTTGTCAGCTACCTCATTGAAACATTTACTAAAATTGTCATATGCTGCATTTACTTCATGATCAAATTTAGAAATATGTATATGCATATGTATTGAATGATATGCATATGTATTGAATGTTAAGTTCATAAGCTACGTAACGATTTACAAAAGTAAAATAAAATGTGATTTTATTGTTTCAAGCATTTATAAAGTGGAATTATCATGTCCAACTATAGTGTCGAAATTAGGGAGGAGGAAACCGAAATCGCGAAAACAAATTCATTTCGCGTTTGTCAATTACTGCCCACTTCTGTCAGTCAACTCGTATCTTTGAACTGATTGGATAATGATCAACAATGATTTGACAGAAGTGGGCAATAATTGACAAACGCGAAATCGCGAAATGAGTTTGATTTCGCCTTTGAAAATACATAGGCGAAAACGCAAAATTGGCCGCATCCGTCTTCCATAATTTCGTGTTGCTCCGCCTTAAGCTTTCTGTGTTGCGTTTTGTAGACTTTTGTTTGTCTTTTGGTGGTTTTTCGTTTTATGCCATGGCGTTTTCAGTTTGTCTTCGACTTATGAGTTTGAATATTCATTTAGTATCTTCCGCCTTAGTTTCTTTTTTAATATAATAATATCATCACTTTTTGTTCAAAATATTTTCTATTCAATTCAATTTGAAAATTCACTGTATCCATTTCGTAAGTTAAATCAAATTAGAATCTGCAGGTCTTAAATGGGCTTTCATAGACTCGTTTGTCATAAATAAAAAGTTTTATTCTATTGAGTCAATCGGACTCGCTTAAACGCTCAAGTTCCACAAGAGTTAGCCATGTGAAATATATATGTGGTCCAACGTGCTTGTCATGATGCAATACACCTTCTTATGCATAATTCAATGTCAGATTTAATTGTTTTCATGCCATGCGTACACAGTATCATTGACAGCGGTGATTGGGTATTCTCGAAGTGGAAAATGCGTAAGATGAAAAAAAAACCAAGGTAGGATCTTCTTTCATTTAACCCATTTTATATACTAGTACCGTTTATGAAATGATTTTCTGATTTTTACTGTCAAAAGTTTAATTTTTCGTGCCAAAAAAGTATCAAACAAAGACCAGAAATTCTACGGTTTTTACCTCTGTTCTAGATGAATTCCAAGAATATGGTTCTCTGAAAAAATCTAATTGTGAAAAAGATATTTTCGAAGGGATATGTGTCAAAACAATTTATGTTTTTTGTACAGCATATTGTACGGATGAGTTCGGCATCTTGCAAAAACAACAGCTATATACTGTACGGCACCTAGCTGTGACCACTATGTCAGAAAATATTCTTTTTGTTAGAGAATTTTAGTGACTATGAAGTCTTAGATTTTGGTATTTAACGTCCATCATATTCTGAAACAGGTCTAGAAATAAAGAGTGAAAAAGGTTGAATTTCTGTGGCTTGCGTGGCAACGGTAGACGATCGACCCAGACATTTTCAGGTACCAGGTGCACAATTTTTAAGAATATAACAAAATGTGGTGTATTTTTGGTACTTCATACCTGCCAACTTTTCGAAATCTACATGGGATGTTAAGCGCAAGAGGAACTTATGCTCCTCTTTTATTGTCATAAATGTTTTAATCTACTACTTTAATGTTTGAATGAGTATGAATGTGCTAAAATACCCTTTTAACTCATTTAATTTGAATGCCCGTTTTCAGGTGTTCAATTTATAAAATAAAGAATTTAAAAATTCAGGTCAACACC